TTCCTACATATCTCTTTTTTATTTTTATCAATAAAACTACTCGTCAAATCGTCTTATTTCTCTTTCTTCCCAGTTTTACGAAGTGTATGATCTTCCTTGTGTGTTTCTATTTTTCACGAAGAAGTAACCATTCTGCTTATCCTGCTTCATACTTTCGCCAATCCGTGGATACACTCGTATTATTCTTGAAATAGCTGCGTGGAACTCGAGATATTATTCGTGCTTTCTCTGACGCCTTTTGTTCTAACGAAAGACATCGACTTTGCCACAGTACTCTTACGATTAAGTTTCTTTTCTTCTGATTTTCTTTTCTGGTCGCAATCTTCATATTCTTTATTTTATATTAACTTAAATCCTTTTATTATTGTTACAAACTTACTGGTTATGACAAGTTTCCTAATGTTTTTCAGGATCCTTGTATAACATAGCAATCCATTTTGACTTGTAATTTAGATAAATATTAGAAAAGTAAAGTAATGTAAATTGTTTTGTAAATTATAATTATAATTATATTTCTAAATAAATATATATATTTATTTGTTTGTTTATTTATTTATTTATTTATTATTTATTATTTATTATATATTAGAGATCTCGATTTCACGTGTACCTAAAATATACGTGTACACATGTAGTTAATATCTCCGCGTTTTAATCCGTGTATTTCTCAATACACGGGTTAGGTATACGGATCGTAATATCTGTACATGCATCCGTGTACTGACTTTCACAGATACACGTGTATAGAAATTATATAATTTCACGTGTATTCATCCGTACACCATATTTCATTTTTAATTAGATATCAGAATATTTAAATATGAAAATAAGTAAATAATTTGTGATAGTCTACTAGCATTTTCATTATTGCATGAATTTTCTGGCAATATTCGTTTGAAGTACTAAGGTATATTTAAAAAAAAAACTATAATTTCGGAAATTTCGAGAAGTTTCAAACTTGAATGGAACGAAGGTGACACTCTTTCATTAAACCATATATCCTTTCTTTTTTTTAAGTACACGTGTACACGTGTATTTTCAATATACGTGTTCAAAATCAGGAACTATAATATATATATATATGTATATATGTTTATAAGAAAACACACTCTTTATAAACTATTAACTAAAAATTGTCATTCTTAAATTATCTATAGCTAAAGTTTTCAATCAATGACATTTATTAATCTTGTATAATAACTCTACATGGGAGTTTGTAATGTACCTGGACCCACACCATATCCGTATCCTTGAGGTCCGAAATTTCGAACGTAACATTCTAAATAGCAACATAAAATCGATCGTTTGCTAACTAATAACTATAAAGAAGAATATACAAGATTATAAAGATCAGAATAACTAACGTTTGCAATAAATTTCCCCACAATTCTCCTGATACGTTAAGGATTCCAAGGGTTTTCTGCAGCAATAGCAGCTGAAGCACGTATTATGGAACGGTATACCAGACACAATCTTGAACGGGCAACGTTCACGCGTTTCAATGTCAATTAATAGAAAACTATTAATTGATCAAATAATGCAAAATTACCTGCATTTCAGCTTGATACACTTTTCGGCCACAGCGCTGACAATCAAGACCTCCGCCAAAACAGTCGCATGCAGTTTTCGGTCGGCAACATCCTAGGTCAATGGGTTCTGCTCTATCGGTGCTACAACACCTTCTGGTTCTTACTCGACATATTGGACTTTTTGACCTTCATAGATAAAGAAATGTCACTAGTAAGGCGCCATAAAATAATATAAAGCGGCAATATTGAAATGTTCTTACCGGCAGCAGCATGTGCTACCTCCACTTCCACAACAATTTCCACTTTTTGGACCACAACAACAAATTACTTGAGGACACGATCGTGGTGGAGAACAAGGTGAACACGGACGACAAGGTGGTACCACGCAAGATTTCGCAGGTAAACACATTTGTCCAGGTTTTCCACAACCACCACGACATCCTCCTCCACAACATCCACCTCCACCACAACTTTGAGATTCTACAGTGCACGGTTGACGACATCTAAAAATCGGTTTCTTGCAAATTGGCCGTTCAAGCGATGATGAACAACAACAGCGTCTCTCAATAACTGGTTGAACATTGGATGAGCAGGTTGTACAGGACGTTACAGCTGTGCGACATTGTTCTGATGGATCTCCTGAAACATAAAAATTACAATTCTGACTAGTTTTCTTTATAGATAAATTGTTTTAAAATTACAATTCTGACTAGTTTTCTTTATAGATAAATTGTTTTTATGTACTATAGTAGATTCCCGGTTATCAAGTCCCGTTTTAATCAAATTTTTACTAAAATGAAAATAATTAACATAGTCCGTTATCCACATTGTCTAGAAATACCTTTTTTATATAATAGACAATGTAGATACATAATTGTTTATCTTATGGTGTATGTGATAATTGGTATATATTTTCGGATTAACTAACTATTCAGCCCTATAAGGACAGTTAAGCGGGAGTCTACCATGCTTGGATCTCAGTATATTTACTTCTGCAAAGACAGGCAGTTTCAACTTTTGTTGTTCCACACGAAGGTCTAAGGCGAGTTCCGCACGGTCCACCGCATCCTCCCCGCATTCGTTCGTTTTCATCAAGTGATGAGTTCGGGCCACTTTGATGAGCGTACGTCATCATGTCTTCTTTCGACGATGCATCGTCTTTTTCGTTCATTATTCTGTATGTGCGCGACTCTGAATTGCCTTTGACGCAACGATCTTGCCCACGATTCTTCTCGATGTCATTGCATTTGCTTATCGTATCTTCTTCGCCGCACTCTGACGCGCTTTTTTCAAAATGTATTCTGCCACTATCTTCGGTATGATTTACGTTAACATTTTCGTATCCGCCGTCATTTTTACCAACCGAATCGTCCGCTTGCCAAATATCGTAGGTATTATTATATTCCTGTCTATTATCGTTATTGTAACGGAGCCTATGATGAGCATCCTGCATTTTCGTGATACAATTCTGGTGGTTTTCGCGCATATTTCCGAAGACGACGTCATGGAACGAGACTCGTCGTCGGGAAGGCAGCGGACTGCGAGGCGGTGGTACCGGCGGATACGCAAATTTTCGTCTTGACGGAATAATGACGCTAATGTCACTAAATTCGTACACGGGGTCGTATTTGTTAATTTTATTATTCCGGTTGATAGTTGTCACTTGAGTTTTATCTATGCTGGAAACATCTACGCTTAGAAAGCCTTATTTTGACAAGTTGTCACTGCACTGATGTTTTTAGATAAAAATACAGAAATAAAAATAGAAATTTGAAATTAATAACGCAACGTGGCAAATAGACTGTTAAGCAACCATTAAAGGATTTGAAACTACCGATATCTTACCGACGGATGCTATTTCCGGTGAAAAGTTGTAAATACAAATTCAACGTAAATGCTAGTCTAATATATCCAATTATTTTTGCACTTAGGGCTAAACATTTCTTCAGAAATAGCTTACAAAAATCTGGAAGAATAGGAATAAGGAAAATTCAGAAAATTCGATATACCTTAATTGAGCCTCTGTAATGTTGACTTCATTATTACTAAACAAAATCTTTGGTTCAGATTGATCTGTTTCTTGTTTCTGCGCTTCAAATCGACAATCTTTCGCGATATCGTTATTCTTCTGCGACTCCAGAGACAACGTACTGTTTTAATAAGAGCATCATTAACAAGGCATTTTTGCTTGAAATTAGGTATGACCAGAAAAAGCGGAAATATGTATGTATCGAGAATAAATTTAAACCTGCGGAACTTAGAATGTTGACGATTGTACCACGTAGTAATTGCGTTAGGACTGGGTGAAGGGTCGCAAATTGTTGTCATTGAATTAACAACACCTAGATTTGCACACTCGTTTTCTAAGAAATGCTTTTTCTCCTTGTCAAAGTAAACGTTTGTCTCCTCGGCTTCGCTACCTCCACCGCGAAGTCTATGCTTGTCAGATTGATAATGTTGATTTCTATTTAGTGACGCGTTACCGATTGAATTTTCTGTGTCATAACACTGGTAATTTAATGATTCCTTTGCCGAAATTGTTAAGGTTGCAGGCAAGTGCTGTACTTTTTTGATTTCATGATTCGCAGTTGACAAAGACAGGCGAACGTAACAATTCTTGCAAAATAATTCACCGAGATGCGTCACGACGTTACAACTATTCAGTAATTTTCTACAATTACCTATGGAGCATTGAAAGTCAAATTTAAATAATCTTGGATTTATGATCGAATAATGAAAGAAAACATTACAAGAGGAAGACTAATTGACTTAGACTAAATTTTTTAATAGAAATTTACGATACTAACGACAAGAGAAACAAAACGTATGCCAAACTTTTCCAAGAGCTAATTTCTCTTCTGCGAAGTAAACCTCGCGATTACAACGTGGACAAACTCCAGGCATTTATTAATCAACGTTATCTACTTTTTGTTAGTATTTGAAAACACATGTTGCAATGATTTTTACATATTACTATCCTCAATTATACTATACACAATTTACATATTAAAATCCTCTTCTATTAAAATGTCTTCGATTACCTGTACGATGTACGTTCTAACATTTATGAACGTTTACAGAATAATCATTTAGAACACAATAAATTTCACACATAGTTATTTTTTAATTTTGTAATAATCAATTTTTGTTATATAAAAACAATCTATATAAATTTCCCAAAAGATGTTAAAAAATGTCGAACATCAATTACAAATCGATGTAAAACAAAACACAAGCATAAATATTATAAAATAATATTAGAGACTGTTAATATGCAAGATGATATACAATTATCTTTTACAAGTAATAATGTCAAGTATATTTCATTTATTGTAGTATATATCATTATTATTATAAAGAAATACACAATTACTCTTATTAGAAACGTTTGAAATATATATTTGCTTTTTTACATTTACCAAATAGAGAAATTATAATTCATACATACTACATTGGTAAACGTGTGAAGGAGGAAGTCAATGTGTTTAATCCACATGCAACAAACGTCAGGTCATAGTGCAAGTGGCTCCGTGATTCAAAGAGGTTAAGAGAGCTGCCTAATAGAAATGGCAGCAATAAAGGGCCTGGGTAGAAATATCCCCTATCTGAGGCAACAATTTGCTGCCCTTTTAGGAAACACCAGTACTAGTGTTAAATTCATATGCATAGTCGTTCTGTTTTCCTATTGCCTTTCTTTCTCCACGGAAACGGTACGTGTATTGAGCGTAACACCAGGTTACCTACTGCCTCCAGTTTTTTGGATTTGGACTGCATTCACCTTCTGTTTCCTTGAGATACATTTCTGGGAAGTATGCGTGGATATTGTGACAGTAGGTCTTTGTGGCAAATTGATCGAACCACTATGGGGCGCGATGGAAATGATGACTTTCTTTGCTATCGTTAATTTTGGCGTCGCTGTATTATCTGCTTTATTTTATTTATTCCTTTATATGTGCACCAACGATCCAGATCTGCTATTTGATATACACATTCATGGACTAACTGGATATATCGCAGGTATATTCTTTATGAATAGCCTTTTGTTGTCATCGAACACATGTCATGTAATATGTGTATATATACACATATATATGTATAGATTATAATATATTTTGTTATATTTTTTCAGTATAGTATTATAGTTTTAGATAATATTAAATACATGAAATATATAGAAATTAATTAAAGAAAATTACTTGCATTAACTTGAGACATAATTAATGTTATTTATCTTTGTTTATAGGTGTTGCAGTAGCTGTAAAACAAATAATGCCAGATCATATTTTAGTTAAAACACCAATTGGAAAGATTACGAATAGGAATATACCATTAATGGTATGGGTTATGGGAGTGATATTATGGCTTTTTGGATTATTAGAAGGCACTCATCCAACTATGTTTCTTAGTGGTTTATTAATATCATGGATATATCTTAGATTCTATCAAAAACATAACAATGGCACACGTGGTGATATGGCAGATAATTTCACATTTGCAAGGTAAATTTTATTTTAATGTTATTGAAAAACATGAAATTAGATAGAATATTCTTAATCTTATGCATATGAATTTGATTATAGTTTCTTTCCAAATGTCTTACAACCACCAATAGCAGTTGTGAGTAACACGGTACATGGCTTTTTTGTACGAGTTGGAATTTGTAGAAAAGTAGTTAGAAGATTTGACATGTCCAATGCCCCACCTGGTCTCATTATAAATCTTCCTGGTATCGATCCACATGATAGTGAAAGAAGAAGGTTTGACATTCTTTTGCGTTTATTAAAAAATATGCATATAATAAAGTAAAAAAGAAGAGCAGTTAGTTCAGTAACAATCTTAAAGTTAATTTTGAAACAATAATATTTGTAGGTTTATAATTGATAATAATTTTCAGGCAAATAGCATTAAAAGCCTTGAGTGAAAGATTGAGCAAGGATCATGCAAAACCATGGCAACAAGAAAGAGCTAAAAAACATTCTCCAGTACCTCCTGCAGTTTCAATCCCAATTCCTGATACTGCTACACCCAAGCCACTTGCATCTCCTCTCATTCCTCAAGTTAGTGTTAACATACATAATCATACTTCTACTAATACGTGATCACATCAAATAGACTGATTTCAAATACATGCATAAGTATTTTAAGAAACTTCTAAAGAAAATATTAATAATATGCAACAATATTGATAATATGGCAATGTTTCGTGAGATAGTAATTTTTAGTAATATACATATGTAAGCAAAGCGCGATTATAAAAAAGAAAAGAACAGCAAAGAAAGTACTTTCAGATCTTTCTAATTTGTAATTATACAGCCACATCGAAAAAGCATTTATTTCTTAATGTCTATTGGTAAATTCAAAGAACAATATGTAATATTCAAGCCGTGCCTTGGTGTTTATAACTTTTAATTAATTTGTGTATCCAACCTTAAATCTGTTTTTAAACATATAAACGCCGAGTTGACTTGTTCTTTGATATTACCACATACAAAATGGCATTTTATACGGTAAATAAATTTATATATATTAACCATAATGCCATATTGCAGATTGTACATTATATAGTCTTTAGAAGATTCTTAACAAGAAATATAGGAAAGCCGATCTTTCTAGTTTGTGATGATATTTTCCAAGAAAATCGCGTTCTTTGTTACTAAGAAACTATAAACTCTATTTATGTAACTGAGTATTGTCGGTAAAAGATAAATAATTAAAATTTTTTTAACAAATATGTTGAAGGTCCTGAAATACTGTATAAGTGCAGCAATGTTCCGTCGTTAATATTATTCAGTAATAGCTGGAAGGTAAAGATACATTACTAATAACAATGAATGAAAATAGACTGGTTTCCAGTGTAATATAAAATAATTTTACTAGAGACAGATTTAAATTTGGAAAAGGTTATTACTTTATCAACATGTTTTAGGAAATATTTTATACAATCAGGATTACAATTAAATATTCTGTATAGTGTAAAATGTTAATGTACAATACATATAGATGTTGAAATGAGATGACGATTATAAAACACAAACATTTTCAGCTTATTCTAAAGTCATACTTTAACAAAAATTGTAGGACAAAATGCTAACTTTTTACATCATGAAAAATGAAGAGATGAGTATCAAATGCATTATTTCTGTAGATTTTAAGGCAATTATTTTAGGACACAGAGAACAAATTTAACTTCAATAAATTATTTTCATATTACTTCAAGCAATAATTATATTTATATCTGTACCTAAATACCTAATATAAGTATATTAAAGATTTTATCTAAATTATAAAATACATGTATATTTTGATTAATACACATGTATTGCTTGTATACACATAAATTTATATTATTTATGTTCATTGTGTATTTTATTAATTTATTCTACTAATCTTGTCCTATATAGCTCAAATATAGTTAACATAATTCTTACTGCTTATTAGGTACAGGTATTTAAAATATATTCATTTAATTACATTGTAACACAAACATTATTTTCATTTTATATCTGATTTATATTTTCACACGTAACATTCTTTCTTTACTTAAAACAATGCAACAATCAACTATTGTGCCACAAACACATGTTGCAATTTTTTTCGCCATCTATTGATATTTTTAAACAATTGTTAAATATTGATTATTATAGTTTAAAAGTAATTGTTTAAAATTATATATATGTATGAAAAGGTGAATGGAAAGTAGTTCGTATAAATGTATAGCAATGTGGATAATATTTGATATATCAATAGGTTGTAAATACCAGGAGTGATGTAAAACGTGAAGGGATCAAGACACTATAATGATGCAGTAATTATACATAGATAGATACATTAATACATGTGTGACGGAGTAAGATTAAAAACTATTTTCATGTATGGTTCAAAACTATCCCTTAAGAATGTATGTCATTCATATTTTGGCCTTCCACTTAAAGATTACTGATAAAAAAATTTTTAAGTACTTTTATTATAAGATTTTTAGTCAATTAATATTTATTATAAATATTACTAGAATTAAAAAGCGAAAGGCCAGAATGGAGTGTATGAACAAATGAATATTTGTTAATTTCATTAAATACATTATAAGAGTCTAATATAATAATTACACATTATATATATGTACATGTTATATATAATGAGTTTTGTACATATGTTAAAATCGTTACAGTCTGTACAATATTAAATTTTACTAAAAAAATACATATTTCCTATTTTCCTATACTGCTTGTAGGATAAAATTATAACAATTAACACTAGATATTCAATACATAATAGAAATACTTATTTGAAATATTAATATCTTATTATTTAATTCACATTACTCCTAATTTGTTAATTGTATATAAATAATAAGTATAAAATGTTTTCATATTACATAAAAAAAGTATCTCATTCTTTGTTACAAATCCTCTTTCTCAAACTATAAGTTTAAAAGCGGGAAATAAATAAATATATCTATAGGATGAAAAGAACTTTATTACTATTATAATATATAATCTTTGTCATTGAATGTTGCAATTATAGTTCTTGAAAAGTATAAAATATTCCGAATATTTTCTAATGGTGGCAGCACATTTTCAATATTTTGAACTACTTTTAACTGTCATAATAATTTTATCACAATTTATATCATACAAGTCTTTACAACAAAGACATATACTTTTTTTACCTATAAAATTGTTGTTGATGCTGTGACCATTGTGTTTGTGGTGGCGGAGCTTGTTGTTGTGGAGGTGGTGGACCATATGATGGATCTTGTATATATCCTGTTGGAGATGGCCTTATTGAATTTGGTGTAGAAGATACATATTGCTGTTGTTGTTGTGGTGGTGGTGGCACATAAGATACTTGAGCAGGATGCTGTGGTTGCGGATAATATTGTGTTTGAGAAACAGGTGGTGGCACATTATATCCTCCATAATTAACTTGTGGAGGTGGAGGAGGATAATAATGATGACTTTGTTGCGTGTGTATGTCATGTGTTGTCATAGCTGTATCTTGAATAGGTACAGTTATAAGATTTGTTCTTAATGGAGCATTATTTGGCAGTGGAGGTGCAGGATTTTGAGAATAATTCTGCATTGATATTAATGCCTGTGGTCTATGTTGTTGTCTATGCTCCACTGGAGTTTGATTGACCATTGAATTCACTCTAGGATCGTTTCCCATTATGGGTTGAACCATATGTGATTGCACTGATTTTATGCGGGTATTCTGCATAGCAACCGACGAAACTTTTGTTAATTGAGATTCTATCTCTGATTTAGAATGCACATATTGAGGAGGATCAACTTGCATTCCTTGAACTTGCTGTGGTGGAGCTGATATATGTCGATGATTTATATGAGCCTATGTACAAATTGATACATCTATATGATCAAAATAAATTAATAAAAATTGGAAAATTGAAAAATAAAGAGAAATTACCTGTAAATCTCTTTGACTAAGGTATGTTCTTCTACAACCTGCATTTCCATATCTAGTTCCTCCATGTGTACACATAAACACAGTACCCAAACCAGTTTGTTCCACTCTAGAAACCTTTTCCATACAACGAGGACAAACTTTATCTTCCCTTTTGGCACAAGATAAGCAAAATACATGTTTGCAAGGTATCTGAAACAAAAATATAAGCATAAAAATTTATGAATAAGAAATGAATTAAGAAATATAACTATAACACTTAAGTCAGTTGATTTTATAATAATTTAGTCTATTCTAAAGATATACTATGTTTATTTTTTAAGCTTTTATGACTTAGATATTAACTATTAAAAATTTATTAGGTTTGATTTATATGTATATAAATATATATTTGCTATAATATCTTTTCCTCATAAAAGAAACTCTCACCATGCGTCCATAAATAAGAATTGGTTTCAAACACTTATCACAACAATGTATCATAGGATTTAACACTTTTTCTCCAATGAGATTTACTCTGTGATCCCATCTTAAACGTAGCATTGGTTCAGGCGGTCCTCTATTGATAGTTGTAAAAGTTGGAGCTTCCAATTGTGATATATCAGCTTCCAAGTCAAACTGTTGCTCCAAAGGAAGCTGCTGTGTTGGTGGAGCTTCATGTTCTTCTAATTCTGTTCCAACAACTTCTGTTGGAGCTTCTTCTACTTGTTGAGGAGTATCTTCTTCATCACTTTCAATGACCTATTTGAAATATATATACAATGAAATAATAACGTCAGCTAGGATAGACATTAAAAAAATAAAGAGATAAATTAAAGAAATAAATTAATCAAAAATTTAAAACTAAAAGAACATTCAGATTTACCTTTACTTGTTTTTTAGACCTTCCTCTAGCCCTCCCTCGTGTTCTACCACGTGCTCTACCACGAGTTCTGCCTCTCATTCTTTTACCACTATCTTCCTCCATCACTATAATTATAAAAATTTAGAAACCTAATCATCTACTATACAATCATTAATTTTTGGAAACATAAGATCAAAGAAATAGTACATTAGTTATTATCTCAAAAATTAAACAAACAAATAATCAGTAATAAAAGTATGGTTTAATTTGATTGATTCGACGTTTTATATATTTTATTGTAAGGTATATTTTAATTTCAAAATTGTATGTCGGTAAGGCGGTACTTACCTAATTATGTAGGTTATATTTCTAATTCTAGGTAATAGATTATAATATCAATTATCATATTTATTGATAAATGCTTTAATTTGCTGAGAAGAAAATGTTTACACCTAACAATTAAAAAGATGAATTTTTTTATTATTGGACTATGTAACGTCTCGCACTGAATCTAGTTAAACCACATATATGTATGAATGAAGAAATAAGCTGTTGCTACAATCTCCATTGTAGTAATCCATGTGACGTAGTATTTTGTTGTTACCTTGGAGACGACAGTCTACTTCACACAAAATGCAAAGTCGTATATTGAAACAAAGTACCCTGCATCTTTATGTTTATCATTGCATTTTGGCCAATGTTAGTCAATATAAATTTGATTAATTTAATAATTTTACTCTTGTTTGAAATTATTCTAAATAATGTAAAATTATGTAAAAAATATGATTAAATAAAATTGTTACTTTACATTATAATGTGTTCATAACTAAAGACAACTTCAAGATAATCCAATGGAGGGAGTAGTTCTGAAATCGAAGACAACTCAAGTGTTTTTAACATAGTATTTAAGTACCTTATTTTGTAATTTGTAACAATAAGTTTTATAAAAGATGTCTTGCTGTTCAGGAGATGAGGATGATGAACAACGGCCTGAGCCGACACGTGTGCGAGGATGCACAGATATTTTCTGGCTTTGTTGCTTTATAGTATTTTGGTTTCTTATGGTATGTAAATGAATTTATCATTAAATTTTATCTTAAAAAGTATATGGAGTTAAAAATGTTATTAAACATCTTTTACATAACGATATGTATAATTTTTGTATACAAATGTACTATTTGTTAATGGTGATATTATATTACAGATCTTAATAGCAGCTTTTGCTCTTGTTTATGGTAACCCTTTACGACTTATTAATGGATATGATAGCTTTGGAAACACTTGTGGTATGAAAAATAACCCAAAATTTGGTAGTATGGAATTATCTGGACAAGATACTAGCGATAAACCGTTAGTATTAATATAAAAATTATCATTTTTACAAATAAAATATAGGTAAAAGAATATAAAGTCTCACGAAATTGATTATTTTAGATTCCTATTCTTTTTGGATATATCTAATGTTACACAATCCTTAAAAATTTGTGTAAAGAAGTGTCCAGATCGAAATATGACAACAATGAATGATATATGTAAATTTTATGAAGAAACAGGATCTCAACTTTGTCATGACAAGCCAGGAAATGATCTAAGTGCTTGTAGTAATGGAAATAGAAAAAATAAAACTGGTTCTTGTCCTGGGTTACCAGTGTATAATAGTATACCAGTTCTTAATCGTTGTATTCCTAAAGATCTGGGAGAAATTATAATTGCAAATTTATATGGCCTTATTAATTCTTGGGATATTATTGAACAAATTTTAGGAGATTTGTATAAAACATGGAGAGAGATTTTGTCTTTATCCTTCTTAGCTTTTGGTATGAAATTTATTATATTCATTGTTAATTCTATATGTTCTATAAAAATAATTAAATGAAATGTTTCATTTCAGTTTTATCTCTCTTTATGATTGCCATATTTCATTTATTAGCAAGTATTGTAACATGGATTGTGATGATTCTTGTCAGTGTAACTACTATAGGTAAATTATTGAAATACAAAAAGGTGTTAAAAAATATGATTATTTAAACTGTTATTCAATAGAATATAATTCATATATTTGATTGTATAGCTGGAAGTGTATTATTATGGTGGACATATATAGAAATTAAAAGAACTTTGGATAAAACTAATCCAAATCAGCTTTTAGAAGAATCTGTTAGAAATGAAAGAGCGTTTCTAGCCTTTTCTGTTATTGCAACAATAATAACTGTAAGTAATTATCATTAACTATTACTTTTTTGATTGATTAGAACATTTGTTTCTCTTATAAATTTTCATATATTTTAGGTCATTTTATTATTACTTTTAAGCATATTAAGTAAACGTATTGGATTTATGACAGCATTATTCAAAGAAAGTGCTAAATGTTTGGCAGAATTACCAGGTTTATTTTTTCAACCCTTATTAACATTTACTGCTCTGATATTATTTTTTGCATTTTGGGTAACTGTAATTCTTTGCCTTGCAACAGCCAGTAAGTATTTTAATTTGTCTGTGTTGCATAATCTCAAAATAGAAGTAATATTTATATAACAATGCAAAAATTATAGATTATCCTGGAACAAAATCTGTACAGATGTATAAAAATCATATATTTGATCCTCTAAATTTTAGTCTAATTAGAGAAAAAAGTGCATATGTTGAAGAAAGGAAATTTGACTTTTCTCTTGACTCATTTAAAAGTAAGTCTATACTAACATATCTAATATGTCCCTTTTTTAATTTAGCACTTGTTATTACCATTGAAGTGTTTTAGCTTTCACACTTGTGGAATATGTAGACCCAACTTGGGTAAAATATATGTGGTGGGTGTATATCATAGGATTAATATGGACGTCTGAATTCATTATTTCTTGCCAAGATATGGTGATATCAGGAGCTGTAGCTCACTGGTATTTCAGGTAATATTATAAGAACAATCGTCTTGTGCATATAAATAAAGTAGAATATACATATTTATATGATATATATATTTATTATTTCAGAGGCAAAGACGCTAGTACATCCCCAGTATGCTCTGCTATGGGAAATTTAGTTAGTTATCACTTAGGTTCTGTAGCTTGTGGTTCATTTTTAATAACACTTTTTAAGTTACCTCGCTTGATCTTGACATATCTTTATGCTAAGTATGTTTTACTAATAAACATAGATGAGTCTATAAGATGTATGAAATATAAAAATTTATAATATAAATATTCCACAGATTCGAGAAAAGCAAAGAAACATCTCCATGTGCACAGTGTGGTTTAAAATGCTGCATATGCTGTTTTTATTGCTTAGAAAAATTTATTCGATATATGAATCATAACGCATATACTGTAGTTGCCATTGAAGGAACACACTTTTGCAATGCAGCTAAAATCGTATGTTATAATTTATTTTCATCTGTTAGAAGTTTATAAAAGTAATGCTATAGAAAATACAATAATTTACATTCTTCTACTTTTGTAGGCATTTACAGCTCTTGTTAGCAATGCTTTACAACTTGCGGTAATTAATGGAATAGGAGATTTTATTCTATTTTTGGGTAAATGTTTTGTCACTGCTGCAACGGGGAGTGTTGGATTGCTATTTATGAAACAAGATCCCAGATTACATTTTTATGCAGTACCAATTTTCGTTATCTGTGTTTTTGCATTTTTTATTGCTCATTGTATTATTTCTCTTTATGAGGTATATTATAAAGATTGTTTATATGAATAGATTACATGAATCTTATACATATTTATCATTTCATGTTTTATTACAGACTGTAATAGATACACTGTTTCTTTGTATCTGTGAGGACAAGAATTTAAATGGAGAGAATGGAAAGTGGCGTCAGTCAGCATTAGCTCAAATTGGATCTAATACTAGTTCAAATGGACAACAATCACATGAATTAGTACCAATGAACACATAAGTATTATGCTAAAGCACAAACTTCCTTCCCAATATTCCTTCACTTTTATAGATGCTTTTATGCAACATTATATCGTCTATAAAATTAAGATCATCATATACATACATATATATTATTATACATACATTATATAATATTATACATACATTATATAATATTATATAATAATAGTGTAATAGCAATTATATAATATATATATGTATGTACATATGATTACGAATATGTACCTTACATTGAAGTTATAAGCTATATTTAGATAACAGCTTAAACTTATCAATTAATAAATCTTTTTATACATCTAAAACTACTGCCATATATGTACAAAATATCTTTGATTTGTAACTCAGGATTTCTAATCAGTTTTTAATCAGTTTAGCATATCCTTAAAAAATGCATAAAAATAATATTATTAATTAGTATTTCTAAAGGCTATTACACAAAAATCGTGAGAAATATGTATTTTGATTATAAAAAACAATGTTATATATTTTTTAAAACATTGAATTATTATGATATACTTCTAAAATCTGTTTTATAAAAATATTAAATTAAAAAAAGATCAACGGCTGTTTATATTTTATGTACGATTTTGTAAAATTTATTAGTAAAAGTATTGTTTGTTATTTTTATAGTACTTAATATATGTGGAGAATACAGATTTTAATCATGCATTTTTTAAAGTTCTTAGATACGTATATTCTCATAAAAACATCAACAAAAAAAAATTGGTTTTCACGATCTTGGAGAGAATACGTGTTTTCTTTTCCTTTTAGAATTGTTATCAGTATTTATAAATGTAACATAAATATATAATTTTCTATATAATGAAAATAATGAATGACACAACTGAAGATGTGAAAAATGATATGAAAGATCTACAAGTGCTATTATTCACTAAAATAGAAAGAATTAAGTATGTATACTACGGAATCGTGACGTCGAGACTGAATTATTTTGGATTTGTAAAATCTAAATTAAACTACCCCAATGTTATTGCAACCTCAATTTCTATACTATATGATTCCGTACTGCATTTGTGTTGGTTCTAAGGTCTTTAATATCTTATCTTCTAGTTCTGAAATACATTATTATCATGTGGTATATGCAAATAATAAAATATTTTTTTATGTTTTATTTTAGATGTTTTTTAAATATTAAGTGAAAAAAGAAAAGTATAATGTATAACTACAATAACCATCTCGCTATTTTTAAATTTTGAATCTATACCTGAATTTTCATACCTGAATGATTATTATTGTTTAAATAATTCTTAATTAACATCTTAAGTCAATTTAAATTTGAGCTTAGAGTTTATACATGAAAACATTCAAGCATCTGCATTAATATGCAATGTATAAAGTATCCTCCTATAATATCCTATAAAGTGTGCTTTAATGTAACTAAATCAAGTACAAATATGTGCCAGCGCAATTTATAATGCGATAAGAATCTATGAATAACTTTATGTAATATTATCAAATGACATATACTACGATAATAAATTTACTTTTATTTCAAGGCTATATAATACATTATAATATATTATACATATATATATATATATATATATGTCGGAGATGGAAGGACACCGGACCTTCCCCTGGAACTCCGGGAAAATCCGTAAAATCGTAATTAAAGTTTACTACTAAAGTTTACTAAAGTAAATCGGCGAAGGGAGTAGTACACATTTGAATTAGAGCAAGTATACCTACCCTCCCGTTGACCGTGGATTCGTTATCGAACCTAAGACCATTATCACTAGTGTTGCGAGTGCCTAATCACCGCTGTTGATCGTCGAATCGGTAGTGTTCATACTCGTAGTATCAGCCCGTATCTTCGTTATAACACAACGCTGGCCAACTCCAAGGGAGGTCTATCAAACGCCCACAACCCTGTTCCTGACTCTTCTCCGACATATATATATACATTATAACATAGAATATTATCTTATTATTAATGGAATCAAATATTTGTTTTCTGTCTATATCTTTGTTTATGAATTATATTAAGTGCAATAATGTAATTTTTTTCTTCAATGATGTGTAATTATACAAAATAATTATACTTGTTTATTCAATCGTGTTTAACATTATGCATTTTATATAAATCAGTTTTAAATAAATCACGTTGCTATGTAGTTCTATGAAAATGTATGTGTACTATATAAATTATATAAAATTTAAACAAGATATGTATAAAGTTCATATACGTGTATTTTATATATTTTAGATTGCTAATTCTTCTAGGCTTGCCTTTATAAAGTATGTATATTACACTGTATGAAAAATAAAAATATATTGTTTATGAAATAGTTAAAAAATGTTTATTAACATAATATTATTAGAATAGAATAGAAACTTTTGAGTGCAATATTACAGCATTAATTCCTTTTTTTCTTTTCCTTTTTTCTTTTTAGAATTAGTCTTTTTTATCTTTTTCCCTAATCGCGTCTTAATTTTTTTTTTCTTTCCACTTTCATTAGCCTGTACTTCTTTTGTTTCTTTCTGTTGTAATTCTATTGCTTTCTTTAATGGATCACCTTTAAATATTTCATCCATGGGATTCAATGAATATGATTCCTTTGGTTTACTACTCTCTTGTGCCACTTTCTGTTCTACCTTATTTATGTATTTACCAGCAATATTCTTCTTCAAAGACTGTCGAAACTGTAATATTTAAAATGTTATAATTATTAAATTTAGTATTTTTAATTTTGTTACACGTTAAATTTATCATAAAAATTTGATTGGTTTATACCTTAGCAGGGGATATATAAGAAGGATTATCCCAAAGTACTTCTCCACTAAAGCTATTAGCAAATATTTTTATTGGATTTAATACAAATCTTGGACCTATTTCAGCTAAACCTCCATCTTCTGTTAAAATTTGGAAATTTCGAAACCATATTCTATTGTCTAATATAGTGAATGTATATATATGGTCAAAAAATGGTTGACTCTTAGGATGATGATTGGGAACACCAAAGATTTGAACAAACAATTCTTTCAACAAACCATAATGTGGTTTTGTGCTAAAATTCTCATCAAATGATAACAATGGTCTAGAACCTCTTAAACAATTTCCAGTCATTTTTAATTCTGCCATAGTATAAACTACAACATAGAAGTCATTAATCTATTTGTGACATTAAGATTATTTATAATATGATATAGTTTATAGAATTTAACATTCTATAATTAAGTATTATAATACGTACTATTTTCAACAAGAAATTTTGCACATGGTCCTACCGAAATGTTAGAAAACCATAAATATAAATCCCTTTTTCTTCTGCCTTCAAATAATATTGATTTATTGCAATTTTTCATTTCCGATATTTCATTAATCACTTGTAAATTTTTAGTACGTTCTATTTTAGATTCAGAGCGATGGTGAGGCATAAGAGTTTTTAAATCATCCATGAGATGACGATGTCTATAGCTGATTCCCCTAGTAGCAAATACTAACACTCTTTGCTTATTAATCCATTTTATCTATAACATAAAATGAAAATGTATAACAAATTTATTACCAATTGAAATATGTTTTATATATATTTATATCTCTACTTGCTAGAAGTTCAAAATAAAACAGAAAAAAGATATTTTTAAACCTTTTTTGGTGGTGGTTCATCGGATATTCTTTTTGCTGGTAAAACTTCGGGTTGTGGTATATTTTTATTATTAAGATTATCGATTCGTTTACGTTTTAATTCCTTTTTCGCCATTATTAATTCGAAGGACTCACGTAAATAAATATAAAAATGTTTCCAAGAGTAAGGTTAACTGTACAGGAATCTATTACATGTCCTTCCCCTATCATGGAGGCAGTAAAACTACACAGACTACATATGGATATTCTGTTCAACATAAACAAAATTTGATTATTGCCGCTGCAACTATTGGCTGCTGACTAGTGAAACTCAAATGCCACTATATGTATGTATTTAACGTAGGTACATAATTTATTGTATTTAAAATACAATTCCTGGATTTATGTAAAATAATTTAATTAATTTTGTAATTTATATTATGTTTTATTAGATATCAATCACATCGTAGGATATAATAAATCATATTTATATGTAGTATATAGTATAAGCTCTATAATTTTATAGACTATATAAATATTGAATTAGAAAATATACTAGTTATTAATAAAAAATAATGTAACATAACGTTAATTGTTAATATACATACATATGTAGACAATTAAATTTCTATGAAAGCAGTACGACATGAACATAATAATCATGATCATGAATTGGCGTATAATTTTGTTAGGTATACTGATTTTTAAAAGAGGAATTTGTTATGAAAAGTGTAAGCCAAATATAGGTGAGTGAAAGAATATACTAATGATATAAAATAATTTTATGTAATATTTTTACGTTTAAAACATAAGAAAGTTGAGACAAAGCAAATATATTTCAACTGATTTCAAGCAATGAAGCATATTATTTTCACGTTTAATAAGATATATAACAATAATTGAAAACTTTGTTTTTTTAGCAATTATTGGAGGTGGTATTGGTGGTGCAGCAAGTTCTCATTTTCTTACAGAACTATTTAATAATAATCTTAATATCGATTTATACGAAGCAAAAATTATCGGTGGGCGTTTGGCCACTATAAAAGTTGACGGTAATGAATTCGAAGCTGGAGGTTCAATCATACATCCTCAAAATAAATATATGCGAGATTTTGTTGAATTACTCGGTACTTTGTTTTCTTATTTTTACATTTCTACAGATATAGTTTCATAAATATCTAAAATGTACGTCTGTTGATTTAGGTTTAGAACACAGACCATCTAAAGGTAAAAAAACAAGTATTTGGAATGGCAATGAAATTATATTTGAAGAGAGTAACTGGGAGATATTATCATTTATTAAATTAATTTACAGATATGGTGTTCAGCCATTTAGTCTCAACAGGTATCCCATATGTATTCTTAAAAAAGTATATCAAACATCTCACCACATATATTTGATATTACAGTAATAGTTGACTTTATTAATTTTAAACAGATATGTAACTTCTATAATAAATAACTTTGAAAAAATATACCATCTACAGGATAATGGAGAAGTTTTCACGAATATCAGTAGTCTTTTGTTATCTATGAATCCTGAATTTCCAAAGTTATTAGAGAAATCTATTAAAAGTGAGATTTTGAATCTGGGTTATTCAGAAAAATTAATTAATGAACTTGTGAAGACAACATTAGTAGTAAATTATGGGCAAGACACAAATGTTCATAGTTTTGTTGGCTTTGTGTCTTTAGCTGGAGCAGGTTTTAATTTGTGGTCTGTAAAAGGGGGAAATAAAAAGGTTGCTTTTTTTTGTTAATTTTGTAGAAAAGATATTTTCATTTCATAATTAATCATTGTACTAATATTTTAGGTACCTGAACATTTAATATATAGAAATAAACATGTAAATGTTGTGCCTTCACATGTAATTAAAATTATTAACATACTAAACAATGATACTCAAAATTTATATGAAGTGCATTATCATAATCAAGGTATGACGTAAAAATAATAAATGATATCTTTATAATGATTAAGGAATGATTTCTATTTCAGACAGTACAAATATAATGAAAGCAACATATGATATTGTAATACTGGCAATTCCACTTATCCATAATCAAGAATTTCCTATAACTTTTGAAGGGTTTCCAAACAATGATTTTTTCAGTCCTGCGAAGTACCATGAAACTATAGCTACATTTGTGAAAGCAGATTTAAAACCACACTATTTTGGCTTAGAGGCAGAATTAGATAATATTTTAAGCTGTGATCCTAACAGAACGATAATTAGTTCTTTGGGAAGGTTAAATTCTGTAGAAGGTTCAATGAAGAATAGTAATGTTTGGAAAATATTTAGCAATAAACCTTTAAAGTCAAATATTATAAATGAAATGTTTTCAAATGTAAGACTACTTCATAATATTTATATAAACTGTGATATATATGACATGCAACATAAAATTAATTTATTATGTTTAAGGTTCAAGAAATAAAACAGATTGCTTGGAAGGCATATCCTGAATATTCAACAAAAATTCATGAAGCAAAATTTAAATTGCATAATGCACTCTATCATGTTAATGCTATTGAATGGATAGCTAGCGCAATGGAAATGAGTGCAATAGGTGGAAGAAATGTTGCATTATTAGCACATAGAGATTTTTTTAGAAAGTTTTGTATTGAAAAAATTATACAGACAAGTTCACTTAAAAAAAAATTACGCACTGAATTGTAATATAAGATTAGTACAAAACAGTTAATATTAGTTTTAATTTAAAAATTGTAAAATGTGTATAATTTTTGTAATAAAGCTATTATTTAAATTACTGTAATATTATTTTTTATTACAAACATGAACAGTTTTTAGCTTATAATTTCACACAGTATATAATTTTAATTGTGTTATGTTTATTTCATGTTATTCACGTTAATTTATATTAAAACGAAATAAGTAGAAATTTTTATTTCAACTGCAATTAGTTTCTGAAGTGTTAAGTAGAAATGATCGTATGGTAAACATACGAATTTGGTATAACTACAAATATATACTATTTTATAATAATGCAGTGATTATAAAATAACTATTATTACTCAAGTGTACTCAAGTAAAAATTGTGTATGAATGTTAATATCAAAAGCTTTTCATGTTGCATAAACATTAAAATTAAGATTTTTGTTATAAATTTAAAAGTCTCTAAGAATATAACCTCTTTAATCCTTGAATGAAACATATGAATGTCAATATCATACGAATGTGACATGTGAAAAATGTGATCTCAGAAGCAAAGTTGTATGTAATGTTATAAACATTTCACTTGAAAAGAAACTGTATGTAATGGAAAATCATTCGGTTCGTATAAATTACGCGTTAACACCTCGTGACACAGAACAGCAATTAATAAATGATGGTGAAACTAAATCATATGAAGAAAATATTAAGAAACACGAAGAAACGACTGTAACAAGTGAAACTATGGGTGGTTCATTCTATCCCAGAGCTATGTTATTTCTAGTATTATGGTATCTCATTAGTGGATGTACTTTATTCTTGAATAAATACATATTATCATATATGGAAGGCAATCCTACAATTTTGGGTAAATTAATATCTAAACTGATATAAACTTTCTTTTCTATTTTGTGTTTAAAATTATAGACTTGAAATGTTAACAATTTTTGCTTTTAATATTAAGTGTTAATTTATTTGAATAGGTGCTTGTCAAATGTTAATGACCACAATTTGTGGATTTATTCAAATGTATTTTCCATGTGGAATGTACAAAACACGTCCCAGATTAATGAGACCAGCAGGTTTTTATAAGCATATGATATTGGTTGGATGTACAAGGTTTACAACTGTAGTACTAGGGCTAGTATCACTTAATTATGTAGCAGTGAGTTTCACAGAAACTATTAAAAGTAGTGCGCCACTATTTACCGTCCTTATTAGCAGATATTTATTAGGTAAGAATCAATATATAGTTATTTTTTTTCTATTATTAATATACAATCTTTTAATAAACATTTCTACCTACAAATATTTTTAAGTTATATAAATATTTGTTATTCGAAATATTAAATTAATATATTATTTACAGGGGAGCATACAGGATTATATGTAAATTTATCTTTAATTCCTTTAATGTGTGGTCTAGCTCTATGTTCAATAAACGAAATTAGTTTTGACCTCAGAGGATTTATTGCAGCTATGGCTACAAATGTAACAGAATGTTTACAAAATGTTTATTCCAAAATGTTAATCAGTGGTGATAATTTTAGGTATACGTAAGTATTATATATATATGTATATATATTAATATTAGATCTTTTATTTACTGTCATTTATATCTTAAACTATTCAACTAAATTTTTTATATTCATTAATAATATGAAATTACAGGCCTGCAGAACTGCAATTCTATACTAGTTTAGCATCAATTGTGGTACAAATACCAGTATTGATCTTATTTGTAGATTTACCAACACTTGAACATTCTTTGAGTTTTAAATTATTCACAGCATTTTTACTTAATGGAGTGTTCTTCCATTTTCAAAGTATTACAGCATATGTACTTATGAATTACATCAGTCCTGTGACACATAGGTGTGCTTTTTATGCTATTTTAAAATAAAATATTTATAAGATATTTTGAAATTTGATTACTAACAGTATTTTGTATCATTGCAGTGTCGTTAATACAGCAAAGAGAGCATCTTTAATCTGGCTCTCTGTTTTACTATTTAATAACCCTGTAACTGGTTTATCTGCTATGGGAACATCTTTAGTAATAATAGGAGTGTTATTGTATAATCGAGCACAAGAGTATGATAAACTAAACAAAGCAAAGTCACGATACAATTCTAAAGTTAATTTACAATAATATTAATTATTCAAATTATAAAAATCTGATATTTAATAAAAATAATTAACGCGTTTACGTTAATTACGTAATGAAAAATGAAAACAAGTGTAATAATAATTTTTATAATAGAGTATTTTATTCACTGCAATGATAAATTATTTATAATTTCAATTCTCTTTATAAAGTAAAAGTATATTTTACACTTTAGATGCATTTTACAGTAAAACAACTTTAACTGAATACATGTAATAATTCAGATATACATGATCATAAAAGTTTTGTCGTATATAATGAGTATATCATAAGAAAAGAATAATTTATTTTTGACAGATTAACATATATGTATGTAAAATATTACTGATTTAATACAAGATTAAAAAATCTTAAGAATAATTTTTTATCTTATTAAAAAATGTAAAAAACCATAAATTCCTTAATTTATAATTGTATTTAAGTTTCTTTGATCACTATTATTTTTGTATCATTATTTTTATACACAGTTTAAAAATATTAATATACAATTATCTAAAATCCTCTAAATTCAATGGGTATTGTACAACATTGTACAATTTTTTCATACAAAGAATAGATGATATAAAAATATATACAGGATACGGCACTATTAGAATAAATGGTGTACATATAATAATGTACATTATGAAACATGCGAACATCAGTGTAGTGTGGAATGTTAAAATATGAATGGCAATATATCCTTCCCAAAAAATTAATTAATTTCAAAAGACAACACGTATAGTATCATAATTTTCTATCATAGTAAATTAAGTTGGCTCCTACTATATTAACACATTGACTGTTATGATGACTGGCATTATGTTGACATCAGAATTAATTACATGTAAATTAAATAAAAAATTATTCATAAAATTTTTACTATTTCTAATAGTTATAGTTTAAAATATTAAATGCACCATAAAGTGCTTGAACAACTTTTCTTTTTAGTAAAGTATTATGTAGAAAATCATCCGGCAATCAACATATGTTTACAAACTAGCTTTAAGAGCTTGATCAAGGTCAGTTAAAAGGTCTAGTTCTGTTTCAAGACCAATAGATAAACGAATTAACTTGTCAGTAATGCCTAATGTTGCTCTAGCTTCTTCAGGTACCGAAGCATGAGTCATCACGCACCTATGCAAGAAATTAAAACAATAAAAATGGTGGAAAGACTTATATGTATTGATGATAAACTACCATTTACTCACGGTAATTCAGCAAGAGATTCATAACCACCAAGTGATTCTGCTAATGTAAATACTTTTAAGGCCTTTAAAAATTTGCTGGAATCACCTTTTAGATAAAATGAAACCATTCCACTATGACCAGAAGTTTGTTTAAGAGCAATTTCATGCTGTGGATGTGAGGGAAGGTCTACAATTAAATTTTACATTTTACAAGATGAGGAAAGATATCAGTTACATACTATCTAATTGTAGGGAATATTGTGTTACATTTTTCTAAAATTGTATGAGATGTTAAAACATATAAAAGTTATAAATTTAATACTTCATAAAGATACATACATGGATGGATTACTTTTTCTACACAAGGATGCGATTCTAAAAATTGTGCAACTGCTAACCCATTTTTCATATGTTGCTGCATTCTAATTTCCAGAGTTTTTAAACTCCGATTAACCAAAGAACAATCTACAGGAGATGGAACAACACCCATAGCTAACATAAAAATTAGAAATTATATAGAAAATTAGCTAAAACTAAAATTAAAGAAATATTAGGGATGTAATTCAAAAGTACCATTTTGAAGAAATGCAAGTCTTTGTGCTAGATCATCTCTATTTGTAATTGTTGCACCCATAATAACATCTGAATGTCCATTCATGTACTTCGTTAGAGAATATATTACAATATCTGCTCCAAAATTTAATGGTTTCTATAAAAAATATATAACAAATTATGTAATCATGTTATAGTGGTAAATAAAATGTACTACTCACCTGAAAATAACATGTTAGGAAAGTATTATCTACTACTACAATAATTTCAGCATCTTTTTGTTTGACTGCTTGAACAACAGCCTGAATATCAACTAACTTTAGTAGAGGATTAGTTGGTGTCTCTAACCAAACCATCTAAAAAATATAGATGTATAATTCATATGTCTTAAACAATATCAAAATTTATTTATTATTATAATTAATATTATAAAAAATAAAATTTCAAAATTTCTCCATACCTTTGTATTAGGTTTTATATTGGTTATAACATTATTAATATCTGACATATCTACAAATGTAACTGTATTATTTTGCCTGCATAAACATTTTTGGAAAAAACGATTAGTTCCACCATAAATATCATCTGCAGATATAATATGATCTCCTGCATTTAATAATGAAGTTACTACTGTTGTAGCACCTAAACCTGATGCAAAAGTTAATGCATATTTTCCATTTTCTAGAGCAGCTAAACAAGTTTGTAAAACATTTCTTGTGGGATTGTTACTTCTTCCATACTCATAACCCTAGAATTTAATATAACATATAACATTAATAAATGATAAAATAATGACCCAAATAGTAAGTATATAAAATTTAACTGTTTATGATTTTTATCAACTATGATTAATAGTCACTTGATAATACAATTGGTATTAATTTAAAAAATTAAAAATGTTTAATTTATGTATAACTTATATAAGTACTCACATTTTCATTATGTTATAATACCATAAGATACATTAATAATTTATGAAATATCACTGAAACTAATTTAGTTTTAAAATAAAAAGCATTTACCTTAGTTTGCCCAGGTCCATCCTGACGAAAAGTAGTGGACATTACAATAGGAGGTACTACTTCCCAATGATTCCATTGTAATGGATCTTGTCCGGCATGAATAGCTTTTGTGGCAAAACCCATTTCTGTTGACATCTTGTTAAGTGCATTTATTATATAATTAACAGTAATTTTTATTGAATAAAATGAATTTTAGATAACAGAATATTATTGACAATGAGATTTGGCACATTACCATTAATCATATATAATTTGATCTCAATTACATCATGTTCATGTTATAATAAATGCCATTTTTTCTTTTTTTAATAGTTTCATTGAAAGATTAAGATTTGAATTTTTTGATATATATATATTGTTATTATCGAGCAAAAAGAAATTCATCCATTATATCTAAGATAAAAATGTATTACTTACTTCAGTTATTTTTAAAGATTTTTAAAAGTAACAGATAGGTTAAAAACTTATATAAATTAGAATTTATATTAATGTTCGAAGAATTTTGGCACACGTACTTTTACTATATTCAATATAAAATGATAACCTCGCATACAACAGTGCCTACTTACAATCTGTTAGCTAGACACTCCACGTGTCATCAATCAGAAAATTACTACTAAGTGCCACTGATAAAAGATTGATAAAACACGTAGCTCCTCGTAATTGCTTCAAATCCTACAAATTTTACATACGTCATAAGCTCACGATATGTATCGAATTATATTGCATTATCGAGATATCGCTATCGCAATTCAAATATTATAAAATAGGAATTTTACTTGAATCTATATTAAATAAAGAATAATAGCATTTAGTTTTTTTCTTAAGATCTTTGTTATATGTTATATGTTAATATTTCTAATATGTTAATATTTCTAGTGAATTTTTGATAGATAAAGAAAACAATTATAAAACAATTGAAAATAATTTGTTATTAATTATTTCAACATTTTATCTCAACAATCAAATCAACATTGACAAACATTATAGCATTTGTCTTAATTTCCTATATGTAATTTACACTGCTTTTTATCTTTAGTAATTTTTTTCAGTACTACTATTAATCTAGAACTTAAAAATAAAATTTGTAAAAAAGAAATCATAATGTATCTTTGTAACATAATATATCATAACTTCAAATCTCAAAGAAAGATTTTGGTTTAATAAAAAGTTACTAACATAGAATAATATTTTATGAAGCTCGTATGAAGCTTTTATTCATAATTTTACTAATGCATAGAAAATGTTACAGATTAGCGGATGACATGCATTTATAATTCCGAAAAATAATATTGGTTGATTCTTATAGACGACAAACATGTCGACCAATGCGACGCATCCCACCATAATTAAATCGATATTTATTCGATTATTCGAGGAGCTATCAACCTTCTCTCAGTGAAGTCTCTCCGTCTAACGAATTATTTTGATTGATACGCTAAATATTCTTTTACAGAATACAGAACACAACAGTTCTCTGAGATGAAAAAAGAAAAGGGAATTATTTCGTTGTTGTTATTATTTATTATAAGTCTTGTACGTGGTGATATGTTTTGTAATCTTGTAAATCGAGAAGATCCGTGCATTAACTTGTGCGAAAAAACACCATTATCTTTTACAAATGTACGCGTTATCAGCAAATATATGTTTATAAGTTACATATTATGAACTGATACATTAATGATGACGATGACGTTCATTAATTCTAGAGTAAATATGTCAAATCATGTTGTCAGCGAGGATGTAGATTCTTCAATTTAGTGGATTTAAATTATGGATTAGAACTAAACAGCTTAAATGGTACTAGGGATGCCTGTGAAGCTTGTATGTAAAGCATATAATGATTATAATAGCATTTAAATTAAAACTAAATCTAATTTTAATTATAAAATAAAATATATAGTATAATATTTCATATAATTATTAATTTAAAAGATTATTTTTGCATGCCGACTAAAAATATTTTTTATAATGTAAATTATTTTCTAAAAAATTACGTAAGATTATTGTAACTAATAAATTTCTAAATAAAATATTTCTTCATTTTGTTGTAGCATGTGCAGAAGCATATACAGCTCCTCAAGATCGCTATGCATGTAGCACTGGTTGTGATTTCATGGCCAAACAACGTGTTTCAGATTTGTTATCACTATTTTCTGTTGCTGTCTATATAGAGGAAGGTGTAGATTCCAACTTACTTGTAATGTCACCTGATATACCTGAAAATGATATTTTGAGTGATCCAGGTTTGCGGAAGGAACTTTTCCCAGGATGGTGGGATTTTAATGGATTTAAATTGCCACAAACATATATTAAGACTGTTCCATTAGATGCTGGGGTAAGTTTTTAACTATGTATTCTATAATAAAAATTTAAATGATACAGTTTTTATCATTTATTGAAGATATGAATGAAATGAAACTAAATTTACATATATATATAATTCAATGAAACAAAAGTTTCTTGTTAATTTAATATTTCTATTTTTTAAATTTATTTTATTTTAATCATAATATATATTCTGTTTTCGATATTTATCCTGTTTGGAAATTTCACTTTATGTAGAATATATTTATTTATTATAAGTCATATAAATCTGATTGATCATGATATGATAGACAGTGGATTATGGTGTACCATCAGACTACTCTGGAGAAAATGACCAATCAGCTTCAGTACCTGGATCTGATTGGCTTCAGTGTGCCTCGAAACATATTGGACTACCACATTGGCTTTTAGCCTCTGCTATTGCAGCAGCAGCATTGTCTGCATTTTGGTTATGTTTATATCCAGAAAAACCTACTGATCCTTTTAAAGAAATACTTATTGAAAAATCTGATATTTCTCCAACAGCTACATTATATGTACACGAAGCACCATTTCATAAACAGCCTCCACCAAAATATTTTGATAGCGTAGATCCTGCGGAAATTAATATCAAAGTTTAGCTAGAACCTTCAACTTTATAATTTTTTCAATAATTTTGAAGGTTGTTGAAATTTCAGTATAATAACGCCGTTTTCAAGAAATTGTTTATATTATGTATCATAGATTGTTGTGAATACTACAATTATTAAGAAGTATCTGCACTTTCAATTTTCAACAAAATTATTCATAGACAAAAGATAATCCTCTAAGAATATATGTGTATAAAAATAAGACTTTAAAAAGTTAATTGAGATTTTGAAACATACATATGAAAATTAAAATCAAAATAAATGATAAAATAGGTAATAAAATATTTTGTGGGAAAAATTTATGGTTGAATAAATGGTGATATATGATAAAATTATTTTGTACAGAATAACATTGTTTTTATAATAACAGATCTTATTATTCTTCTTTTCCCAATAGATAAAGTAACTGAAATCAGTACTGAAATAAAACTTGCAAAGTAAAAAGGTATATGCACATGTATAAGACTGCAAATTATGTACTTTATTAGTAATTGAGTAAGGATTAAAAACTTTTGTATTTGTATCAATATATTATTTTGTTAAATATAATGTATAAATATAAGAAAATTTATGTATGATCATTGAAAGCAATTGCTTTTGGGAAGTTTTGTTTTATTGTTCTTACATTGGTTATTCATTTTAATAATGATAAATTTTATTTTACATTTAAGTACAGTCAGCTTGTTTCAAGATGTTTGTATATTTAATGAATGCACGTATTCTTTTGTATCTTTTATATCCTATATTATAGTAGTTTAATAAGTTTAAAATCATAAAAATGAATTTTGGAGTAAAAGGGTATGTATTTGTAAAAATTATAGTTAGAAATTTATTTTATCAACTTATCTCAACTTTTATTTTACATGGGGAAATGTGAAATATTGCAATTATAAAAACAAATATGATACAATGTATAGTTGAGGGAACTCTAAAACATTATGTATGATATTATGTTGTATCATTTAAATACATGATATCTTATGTCATTGTAATTATTGAAATATGGTTTGAGGCTTTTCGATAGTACATGTCGACTACATTATGCAATAATATATAAATTTCATATTTTATCTCAACAAACTAAAATTAATATATAATTATGTAACCAATGTAAGACATTACTTAAAAATAATTAAAAAAGTTACAATGTCTTTATCCTTTAGTAGAATATTATGAATTATTGAATATGCAATGTTTAACAATTTAATGTAATTTAAAATAAAGGGTCAATGAAATAGTTACACAATTATTAGTGTATTTATGTTTTAAAAAATGATATCTTTTTCGTATTACTGTAACATTAAAGTGATAAAATATATCATGGTCTTATTCAGAATAAATATTGATATATATTGATGTAAATGTTACAAATACGATGCTAAGATGATACATTAATGTTATAAATTTTTTGATGAACTAGTTTATAAACAAGTTTTATGTGTCTTGTATATAATTATAGGAATTGATTTCAAAATTTGTTCTATAAAAATGAGGAAACTTTTTTAATGTTTAATATCGATACCGAAAACTAAAGTAATTATAAGTCTTTGAAAAATTGTCAGATATATTCAAAACTTTAATATGTTATGAAAATTGTAACGGAAATTGAAGTTAAATGTTTCTTTTAATTATATAAGATGCAATATGCTGTAAATATTAATATAATTAAAGGATAAGAAAGTATATTTTAAACCAAAGTATCATGTTCCTTACATAGGGTAGTGCTAATTTATTGTATTAATATTTATTATCTCACTATACACTGTAAAAATAAAAAAAAAGATAAGGTATGCAAATAGTACTTTTTATTATACTCCATATTCGCACTATTTTATTCAAACAGAACAATTTTTAGAATTCTTATTATGAGACAGGAAGTTAACGTTAACACGTAACAAGTGACAAGATTAGCACCTTTTAAAATGTTGATTACAATCATCGAACATAAGTATATTCTACTGTAATAAGGAAGGTTTACATTAATAATAAGTCATTTAATCTATTTAATGCAAAAAATTGTGTATAAAAAACAAATAACTATTTTGAAATTCTTTTATTATTTTTTACGTTAGTTTGAAGTTTTCTATGATAAAGAATTATTTTTTTAATTCAAGATAACCACAATATGTACAGTATAAAAAAGTATCCTGAATCAAAAAAATATTTAATTCTTAAATATAAAAGGAATCAATTTGTACAGTATAATTAAGTTTGTTTAAATATTATCCTAAGTAATTAAAGCATTTACAGCCAATAAAGTTTCGGATCATCTCTTCTCACTTGTAATTTTAATACATGTCTATATATTTTTAATGCCGGACCTAGAAGTAAGTCAAGTCCACTTAACACATCAGACCGTTTCAGTAATAATAAAGAACTGCCATCAATGTCCTGAAATACATATCAATATATGAAATATTTAATAATAGATACCAGATAACACAAGTTCTTTTTAGAAACAGAAGAAAAGTACCTGTTGTCTGAATACTTCTGCTTCTTTCGGAAAAAGTCTTGCAAAATATTGATATACTTGTTCAGATGTCCAATTAGAAGCATCAGGTATATTTGGATCAATTCCATCTCTTGGACCATCATCTTCCATTTGGTCGGAAGATCCTCTAGCAGGGGAAACTTGAGGACTTAGAACTGGGGGTAACACAGGCGGATTTGATGGCGTATCAGGCCTGCTAGTAACCAGATTAATATTCTGGTTTATATTTGTTTTATATTGTTTTTGAACACAATCATTGCACTGCCACTTTGAATTTGATTTAGGAATTATTATACGTGGTGTGTGGCAATAATAATGGTAAGCATCATCACAAGTAAAACATGTTGCAAGTGGTCCCTGTAAAATTAAGCTATATTACAATTGGGAAAAAGTTGTTAATATATTTTTTATAATCTACTTACAGCGTCTGAGGTTTCACAACATATTGTACAACTCTTGCAACGTTCACATTGCCAATTGCTACCTGCTTTTTGAATCATTTCTTCTGGACTATAAATACAACTTGGATGTGCTAGAAATAAATGAAAATATATTAAATCATTAATTTAAAACATTTATCATATTTTCAAATACGATAATACCTCGTACAGTACAATCACGACAAGCAACTAAAGTCTCTTGCTTTTCTTTGGCACAAAGACTACATTGTCTACAAGGTCCATCCTTAACAGTTGTTTTAGAAGAATCCTGCGATTCTTGAGGTATAGAAGATTTATTTTGCGAGCCTGGTTGTCTCCCACGTTTTCTTTTTACAAGATTATTGTCAGAGGGATCAAATACTTTTTTTGCTCTCTGGAACGAAATTGTATTTTCAATTTTTTCAACATATACAAATCGAATTAAAAACCTTAAGCAATCAATTATATTTAAAAAATAGAAAAGATACATACCTTTCTACGAGCACTACGAAAGCCTCCAACATTAGTGTTGGATGGCGTAGGCGAAGGATTAGTGGAACTTCTCCCCGCATCCTCGTCCTCTCGTTCTTCGCTCAAATGTCCAGTCTCTTCTCTCTTTTCTTTTTGCGAATTTATTTCTTCTTTATTATCTTTTTGGTAGTCCTCAAATTTGATCTCTATGTCCATAGGATCGTCTGTTCGAACTAGTAGGCGCTGTTTACGCTCAGCTTTCGACGACCTTTTAAGGTTATGAGTCTGATTATCCGTATTTTTTGAGTCTTCTTTCACGTCTTCAACGGAGGTTTGCGATGGCTCCTGCGGTTCTCGTTCTTTTAAAGAATCGTGTTCTACTGATGATTCGGTATTTTCGTTTCTTCCAACGATTATCTCGAAACATTCTTCTTTTCTGATCTGTGGATCAGATTTGGGGCTTGCCTGACGCGAGGACCTCGGTGTATTCGACCTAGAGTCCGTAATCGTCAGGTTTTCTGTTTCGTCAAAATCATAAAGACCACCTGTAGTTGATGAAACAGTTTGTAATTCCTTACGTCGCACGTTTCCATTCTCAAGGGTAAAAGATTCTCGATGTGGCTCAGCGGTGGTTGTCATGTCAGACGTCGCCACCAACGAGTAATTGCCGTTAGAAAGACGCGTCAAATTACCACTTGCTACTTCTTTTCCAAGAAAATCTTCTACCATACGTCTAGAAGTAGGATTTGAGACACCATCAAGCAACTGTTCAATCAATCTGTAAGCTGGTACACCTTGATCAAGGTAATCTGGCTCCTCGACAACGAGTTCTGCCACGGCACCCGCTACCATCCCGGAGTTTAATTTCTCTTTGACGAAACCCTCCGGTCGATTTTTGTAAAGCTGTAACCGTGACCATTTCGAGGCATTTCGGTAACTAGTATTACCCTTATAGTCGACCTGTATCACTTTTTCTGCTTCGATTAACCGATGAAGATCGGCTATGGTGTCCCGTGCATCCACCGAAAACTTCCTTAGTAAGTAGTTGCAGATGCGATCAGCGTCGGGTCGCGCCTTTCGTCGACGCAACTGATCTATTGCCTCCAGGATTTGCTCCTCATGGAGTATTTGCGTTTCTACTCGGTGTTGCTGCATTATTACGCGTCGATAAAATCTTCTCTGCCACAATAGTATATCTGACAATTTCTATTCACACGATCGTTAAAAAGAACGTAGGACCAATGTAAATTCGTTTCACGATGATCTCTGCACGTTTTCACGGTGCTCGATGCATTCGCGCGTGATGTCATAACGACCGGCAAAATTCTATATATTGCGCGTATACATCCGCTCTTACTTTATCATTTAGTTGACTTTCGCACAAATGTCCGCTCTGTTTTCGAAATGATTCTTCTTAGAACGTAACATGAAAGCGAAACTCTTGCAACCGTATACCTATCTCAATTTATTATCGCGTAAATATCGAAAGTTCTTGATTACCATTCGAAACAATGGGTAGATAAAATGTCGATCATTCTTGCGGTGGAAACAGTCCGCTCCGCTTCGTATCAAGCGCAGAATCGTTCTTACACATATAAACAAGTGGAAGCAATACGTTATAATAAAAACGTGTATCTCAATATATTTCTACGTATACGGATTGTCTAGTCGCTTTTTTTTCAACTGTACAAGCATATCGGATTGAAATGAGAAAAATAACACGACCGATGAAACTCGTTAACGTGATGCAATATTATCGATTGCACGGATCGACCAAGTCAATAACGTGCAAAATCTATGGCGCATTCGGAACGCGCGAAATGTCCGCTAACTGTTTGGCGTTAATCAGCCGAGTAAAGCGATTAAACGCGGCTAGGAAAACGAAGCTCACGAATTATCACTTTCTACCGTCTTATGTCCGCTACCGGGAGAGAATTTCGAATCGCGTAACACAACTGCGCTGATCCATTGTTGGACTGAAGCCGAGAGAGGTGTATACGACGGCGACGAAGAAGCAATCTGACAAAGTCAGGTCGTCCGCCGCTGCTGGATCGAACATCGAACTGCAGCGCGACGCATTTCACACCCTTTACACGCACTTTTAACGACGTCAGGATACTTTCGTGTCCACGTACGTAACTTCCTTCCGGTAATCGTCCTCACTGACGATTTAAAATTCGAACAAATCGTTATCGAGGTATCGCAGTCCGAACAAAGAGAACTGTCTTCGTATTAATTCGAAATTGCTTGCTATCTTTCTCTTTTGTTTCGCTCGTGAAAATCCACCGATCCATGCACCCATAAATAATGCCTTCTTCACGAGGACGAAACGGTATAACCGGGGAATAATCGCACTACATACGTGCCAAGTGACCGTCGAACGTTTTCGCCACGCGCCAATCGTCCAACAAAACGGATACCTCTCCTCTTTCGCTGATCTCTCTCCCTCACCGTTTGTCCAACAACTTTTCCACAGTATTGGATCTCTTTCTGTAAGCGCGCTTCGCGACAGGCCACTTCGATACACGCGACCAAACGATACACCACGATTTTATGAGTCCACAGTCCTTATGTGCATGCCACACCAACGCGTATTCGCGCTTACGTGTATATATGTTATACGCGTATATGCGTATACGTACCACGCGGGATATATCGTCGCCGGTTGCGTTCCCTGTACGATACCTTTGTACGTGTTGACACTGTGTACAAACCGTTCGCTAAATCTTTCTACGCTCTATCACCTCGATCGTATGCGATGACAAGTACTACAATTTTAAGAATATCGATAAGCTTAGACAATCGTATCGCACAATAGCTATCGCAGCACACGGCAAACCTGCGAGACGCGGTCTTTTACTGAGGTAGACTCGGTGCGCGCCAGCCTCTTTTCTTACTCCCGGTTCGACCAGACAAAAATCATTGCGAATCCACGCACACCTACAACAACATCGATTCGCTTATTACAAATCGCTTTCACTTCGATCAGTTACGAATTTTTTTCATCATTTCCTATGTCGTTCCACGATAGTTTCACGAACATCGCATAACTCCGATGTAGCGCAACGCGTGAGACGCGCTCTTTTCCTAGAGGCGGCCTCTTGTGCGCGCCGCGCTACCTCTGCTCGTTTCTACAGAACGCCCAAAAAGATCGAACTCGGAGAAACTGTGACGCACTTCACCTCACTGCCACTGTCACTTCCGAGAATTCTCAAAAAATCGTTTGCATCGCCGATTAACTTTCCAAACGAGCTGCTTTCACAAATTATTTCGACAAAAGCGAAGAGCGCGAAGCCGGGTGCGGCTACACGCAAGTGTGGACGGTCCGCCGCTGGAGTACGGAACACGCGGAGCGCACTTTTTGCGGGGACTGGTCCGTGCAGGTACGGCGATGTCTTTCTTAACACCCTGTAGGAATCGGCTTCTGCGCATTGCTTTACCAATTTTACAGTTATTCTAATAACACCTTTTCTTTTTCCTTTCCTACCTATTGTTATTTAATTACGTAATTTTGTCACCTTCTTATTGAAGTAATTCAATTAATAAAACATAGTTTTTTGAAAAATATTGATAGATATTCACGGAAAAAAGATTTTAGGAATTTTACTCTTAATAACCACTTTTTTTCATATTTTGCTAAATATTTAGTACGGTATGATATATTACGCAGAATTAAGCGATAATTTATTATATATGAGTTTAAAGTATAATGTATTTTTTGTAAATTTCATTTGAAATAAAAGTATGTCTTGGAAGAAAATTTTTTCTATGATTTACATGTGGTACGTTACTGTGTCTGTGATTTTAGAAACGACCGTGACGTATCGGCCATTCCCGAGCGCTGCTATCCTCGTTCCCGGCCGAGTAGCTCCCTTTTGAGCCTGCTTTCAGATCGACGGATCTGACGCAACAGATCATAAGCAAATTTTAAGATATGTTGCACGTGGCACAATTTAAATACACTTATTTTTGTAGAAGCTTTTGGTACCAGGCTGCGTTTGAAACGCGTAGAATTGAACTTTTCGAAGGTAACAAGAGTATCGAGAAAAGTATATAAACTGTTGATTATGAAAATACAAATACTTAATGCGCAAAATAACGTACGATACAATATTAGATATATTTTGTATAAGAAAATATACATTATAACTTTTTACGTTAGACTAACAAATATGCCCCATAGTAGTAAATGGATAAATAAAAGAAGGAAAATGGTAATTGTTTCGTGTTTCAAATATTTTATTGTAAAACACTGTAAAAAAATGTAAATGTAAAAAATACACACGTTGTAAAAAGCTTTATGTATGTTTAATAATACAACCATTATCAATTATAAAGGAATTTTATAAATTAAATATAGCTGTTTTCTTTGTCCATCACATTTGTACTTGTAAAACTGTGCCGCTGAAGTTTTGAAATCTGTTAAAAAAATACTATAATTTAATTACTATTTACAAATATGGATGAGTATTATTAAAATACGATTTTGTACATACCAAATTGGTCGGCTTTACTTTATGGATAAGTTTGTTACTATCCCTTAACGGACTTCGCTGGATATTGTTTCCATTTTTGACCTCAAATGAAGAATGTAATCGTTTTCTTATAGGAGGTGTTTGTGCTTTTGGAATACCAGATTCTGTTGGTCGTCGTTTAGGTGTCGTTTTCTTTGGAGATGGTAATTTATTACTTCTAAAAAATAAATTACTTTTTATTGTTCTAAGTTTTCAGATATAATATAAGTTCAACATACCTTCTTGGACTATTATTTAGCCCACTGTTATTACTGACATTTACACGTGTAGTTACTGGTGAAATGTCACAAGAAAAGTTACGTTTTTTTGGGCTGTTAGCTATATGCGATTGTACTTTCCGCGTTTTAGAATGTTCAGTATCTGGAGTTGATGAAGCTACCGGTTTTGAAGATCGCGATTTTTTTACTGGTTGAGGTCCGTTGGTTGTGGAATTAGGTGTACTACTAATTATCTTATGAGGTGGTGTTGTACTTCCAATAGATGAAGTTATTTTTTTATTAATATTTTCTGCAAAAAAGCCAAATAAAATATTAGTATAATAAGGAAAAATAGAAATATAATTTTTTTTATTTATTTAACAATATACCTCTTTTTTGCATATTTCCTATAGGAAGAATAGCTTTCATTGGCCCCTTTTTATTTATTATATCAATGTCTATCTTCTTCTTCAATCTATTTTTAACTGTACATATCATCGAAGTTTTCTCTTTCTGTAGATCTAAGGTTGCTCCCGTTTTAGTTTGTGTATCTAAAAGGAGATATAAATTAATTATCTTAAATATTTTTCTTGTCAATGTTATAAAAACAAAATTACCTCTTGGTAATTGATTTTTATTGTTATTTATAATGACTTTTTTATTCAATACTGGGCTAACAAAACCAGGATCACTAGGAAAACGTTTTGTTACTTCCTTCAATTGAGATGTATCTTTATTGGTAGATATTAATGAACCTGATTGAATCTCAACTGGTGGTGTTTGAGATACAGATACGCTTCTTCTAATAAAATTTTTACTAATTGTTTGCTTCTAAAATAGACATCATCATCTATATTAATTTATTAGGCAATTTATTAAAATTTTGCAATTTTTTTATAGTATTATGCTTACTTTTGATCCTAAGTTTAAACTCAATCTATTAACCGATTTCGATAGAAATGATGACTGCTTCTCATTTTCAGATTTTAGTTTTGATTTTTTTGGAGTTTGTTGAATTTCTATATAATCATTCTTATTTTTTGTATCTTTATCAACATTACAATTATTGGAAGCAACATTCAATACCTTTTCTAAATTTTTAAGTATATTCAAAGTTGGATGTTCTTCAGTCTGTCTACATATTAATTTTCCTATGTTTGCAAGCAGTTCAATTACCACTTTTTCGTTCAATGGACTGTTATTTTTCTCTTTACAAGAAGAATCGTCTTCAGATATTTTTTGAGCACTAAATTCATTTTTATCTTTTTCTTTGTTTATGTTTTCAATATTTATTTCGATTCCTGAAGTTTCACATTTTTGTTTCTTATTTATATTACTTAAGTACTTTTGATTATCAATACATTTATTCGTATTTACATCATTTACATTAATGTCTTCAAAAAATACTGATTCTTTAATACTTTCTGTTGAATCACCAGTCAAATTACCTTCTTTACTATATTCCATATTATTTTCTGCCACATTTTTAATTACTTCCAAATTACTACTTGATTTTGGTGGACTCTTTGATAAATTATTGGTTGTGTTAAAATAAGTAGTTAATAATTCGGTATTGTTCTCACAATTAATACCTAAAACTTTCTCCAAATTTTCCAATAATTTATTTGCTTCTATATTCTTTTCTGTTCTGATTAATTTTTTAAGGTCTAGTAAAAGTGTTACTGCTGTAGTACGTTTTTCCATTGATATTGGTTCAACAAGTTCCATTTCTAAATCTTCCATATCTTTTTTTATTTTATTACTAAATTCGTCTTTTCTATCTTTATATGACTCATTATCTTTATTCTCTGTAACTTTTATATTTTTTGATTTTGATCCAGCTCCATCAGGAGATACAGGCAATTCAATTAAATTTTCTGAAGTTTCATCATCAAATGCTGGTAACAACTCTAATGTCCATGAAGGATTGCTTGTAATGAGATCATCAATGCTTGCTAAACAATAAAATGCAAAATACATATCATTTTAAATTATTGTTGCAAATGTATATTTAAACTATGTATACATTTAAGTATCAATTTTGCTTATTTTAAAAATATATTCTAGTACCGATCATTTCTATATTTTTTGTTTTAGTTATTTAAGGCTTAATTATTGATCTCTTTTATTATCTACCCTTGCTACATTTTCTGGTATTAAAATTTTATTAGATTAACATTATCCAAAGAAGTTAATGAGAATTAGATTTTTGATAAGCAACATTGACATGGTACTTATTATATGTATTTAAAAAATATTGAATGTAATAAAAACTTACAGCCCGAACTGGTTTTTATGGCCAATTCTTCAAAAGTTTTTGCAAGAAGTTTTGCTTCCTGAAGTATTGATTTATTAATCTTATTTCCTTCCTGTAAAGTAAAAATGAACTAAGAAATGTTTTTTGACAAATAATTTTTTATATATAAATTAGGAAACTTACAAGGAATACAGAATCTGACGATGTATCTGAAATAGTACTTTTATGGTGTTCATTGCTACAATTACTGTCTGGTGTGAAAACATCAACATCTATTAATTTATTATTTATATCACACATTTCATTTTTTTCAGTTACAGTTGTACATTCTTTTATATCACTGGGAGAATTATATGTGAGTTCATCTTTATTACTGGTACAATTTTGAGGAATGTGAATCCCTGATAATCTTGCTTTAAGTTTATTAAATCGGTCTGTTAAATCAGACAATGAGGATCTTGTTGATACATTTGCTACAGAAATCTCTAAATTCTTTGTTGGTAATAATGTAGATTCTCTTTCCTTATTATGATCTTCACCTTCAGTTAATTTTGTATTTCCTGATCTTTCTGACGAACAACTTTCTAGGAATGTTCGATTCATAGTTCCATTTGATAACATTAGTGATGAACTAATAGTTGAGGAAACAGAATTTAATTTAGGTATAGAAGAAATATTTGACAAATTTGAAGATATAGAACTTCCACTATCACTTTTTAAAAATCCTTCATTTAGCATGTCAAGCGAATTTAAGGAATAGATGTTACTTGCACTATTAGAATTAGTTCTTAATGATGCAGATAGTGATATTTGATGTAGACATTCTGATCTCTTTGGAGATGTTCCTCCTTGTGAAAAAGAACGCCTAGATTTTGCAATTTTCAAAGTTGCATTAGGAACTAACATTTCTTTTTGTAAAGTAGATTTTATTTCATTTTTATTTGATTCACTGTTTTCTTCAAATAATATATCATTCATCACAGATTGATTCAAGATGGATAAATCAAGATCTTGAACATTAATGGTAGGTATAACATTATCTGATTTAAAATTATTGCTTAATATATTAGTATTACCTGAATTAACAATTATACTTTTACTAGTTATTTTATTAGCTTCTGCATTGCCTAGATTTAATTTGTCATTAATCAAAAACTCATCTAATGTTTTATTCAGTTTTAACTTTTGTCTATTTTTCTTCTTAGAAACACGACTATCTGGTAAATCAAAGGAACCTGATCTTAAATAAGTATTCTTTTTGCATTTTACTTTCAATGCTTTTTCTAAAGTTATTTCAAAAGGATCATCCTTTTTCTGAATATATTCCGTAGTTTTATGTAGCACCATATCAAAAGGATTATTCTCTAAGCTATCACGTTTTCCTATCATTAGAGAACTTGTTTCGTTTATTCGAGTATTATAGTTATTGCATATAATATCTGCAGGAGCTGGTATTAAAGGCGATGCAAGTCTTGAACTTAATGAACCCTTTCTGTCAGGGCTATCTAAATCTATAAGATCACACATATTCACGTTTTTCTGTTTACGACGTTTGAGATCTTCACTTCCAATAATAGTATTACAATGTTGTCATACCAATTAAATGTTCCTAAAATCGTAACGAAATTTTGTGATACATATTATTATTATTATTATTTGCAAACACCGTTGTCACAATCTGTAAATATGTGAGTTGTTTCTCAACAAATACATAATTTCTTGATGTATATTCAATTTCACTTTGATCATTGATATTTAAAAATCATTTATGTTATATGAATACCACCTTAAATATAAATTGTTTATTTTTTATATAATATTCACGTATTCGGAGATACTAACGTATAAGTCTAAATACTTACAGTTACTATTACAGACAATTTAAAAGTTTTTACTCTACTGCCCCCTAGTAGATATTTAAAAACTAAATGCTAAACGGAAGTTATTTATAACGTATTTCAAGATAATTTAAGAAACAAAAATAAATATATGCAAAAACTATTAACAAGTTAAAAAATTATTCTAGCATAGAAACTTAATTTCTAGATCATAAAAATCATAAAAGAAGCACATGCTTAAAAGTTATATTGTTATATTTTCATACATGTATTACCATTCCCTACTACTACAAGCATATTCACATTTTAGTCGCCGTTATACGTCACAGATCTTACTATCAGAAATCAGAAGTTGTGTGGAAACTCATTAGCGTTCTTGATTTCCTACAGTATTAAGTCATATGAGTAAAATAGATTATTATTATCACATTAAAGTATGCAAAATATTTTAATATGGATATATGATATCTTTTCTTTAAATTAACATTGAATTCTAAATATATGAGTATAAATGTATGAAATTTATGAGCATCGTGAACTGTTTATAGAAACTATTTATTTATATTATCTCTACTTATGTAATTCAAGATTACCGGATAATAAACAACTCGTTATGGTATCCTTGAAATATTTATTCAGATATAAGAGAATCTACATTGTAAAACAACAAAAATGATTTAGCAATAATATCTAATGTATAAAATTATAATAAGAACTTCTAATTTATATTACTATTTTTATATATATTTAAATTTTACATAATCTCTGTATAAAAAACTAAATTTAAAATCTGGCAATTTATTTAAATACCAGCAAGTTTTATTATATATATATATAAAATCGAAACTTTTATATTTCCCTTCTTTTTATACAGGTTTTCTAGTAAAAGTCAAAGATTGTCGATGCGTTTCACTAGTGGTTAAACGTTCCGCTATTGGCGGGGACTTAGAAGGAAATGACACGCTATTGGCCAGCGAGCGTTGTGTATACTGGACGTAACCTATCGCATTGCTCCGTTGCGTTTACTAACGCAATATAAAGATGCACATAAGGAGATTGCTTCGTTAATGTTGGCGTCACCGCTAAACAGTTCTTCCGTTGATCGAGGCAAGAGGATTTGGGCTTCGGTAGTTTTTTAAATTCGCTGGAAGCGTCTTTCACGGACACGGTGTTATTGTGCACCAAATTGATGATTTGATAGTGCCAGGGCGAGTGATAGTGCAATAAAAAAATTGATTTATTGTGAGACAAAATGTCAACGAAGGCAACAAAGAAGAGCACAGCGGCGAGTTCGAGTAGCAACGTGCAGTCGTCACAATTCAGCACGTCAACGCCGATCGGCCAGCGGCCAGGGAGTCCTTTGAGTCCGACCCGTTATTCACGTCTTCAGGAAAAGCAAGATTTACAGAATCTAAATGATCGGTTGGCTTGCTACATTGACAAAGTACGACATTTGGAAACCGAGAATTCGAGACTTACGCGGGAGGTACAGACGACCCAGGAGACTATCACCCGCGAAGTATCTAATATAAAATCTATGTACGAGCATGAATTGTCCGATGCAAGGAAACTATTGGATGACACTGCGAGAGAACGAGCAAAGCTAGAAATTGATACCAAACGGTTATGGGATAATAACGAGGAACTCAAGTCCACGTAAGTCACATTTAGTTTTATTCTGGTCGAGTGATAATGCGTCTCGGAAATACGTGTGAATCGATGCAAGCCTGATTTCAAAGGGACGAGGCCGAGGCGATTATAAAATTTACGATTTCTTGTAACCAGCATGTCTCATGTTTTAGCGTTGATTCCCGCTATGTTTACGAGCTCGAAACCGTTTGATTTGCATTTATATTTTATGTATATATTGTATATAATTTGCATTTTATTACGCGTTATTTACAAAAATATCGCAAAATTTGGGGTATAGATGGAGGTGATTATTTGGAAAGTTATGATAAATAGTTATAATTATATTAAAAGTTATATTTATAGTTCATGACATATTTTTGCAAATAGTATTATTGTTTTGCAATAAATATTTCCGAAATTTATAAAAATAAATGGTTGATTCTGTGAGGGTTGTTTACATATGGTTCGTTAGATATATTTTCTATCTGATTCAATGTTATTTATAAATTTCATATCACCAATTAAAATGTAACAATATTTGAATGTGTTTGTCGAAGAAAATGATAAAATTAATATTGATACTTAAGAAAAAAATTTTGTTCTCTAATAACAAAATAAAGTATATTTGTAAATAAAATATGTGGAATTAAAAGAAAATAATACATGTTTAAAAAATTATTAGAATTAAATACAAGGATATCAGGAAGCAATGTATTTTATAATTGTCTATTTTTATACTTAAAAAATGTATTTCGATATATAGACGTACATTATACTTCAACATTTGCATGTTAGAATTCTTATTACTCCTACATTTGCTTGTATACATTAATGAATGGTAAACATGTGTAATGATATGCAAATGCTTTATACATTGGTTTAATGTTAATTTAATGACTCTTAACTTAATTCAGAATTAAGCCATTGTATACATTTATTGATACAAATTGTTTAGTTACATTGTTTTATTACATGTATTATGCACTTCACTTTAAGTGTGCTTCACTATAAGTCAAATGACACTATCAATGTCGATTGCTATAACTAGGCTAGATATCTAAGGAACATCAAACATAAATGGGATTTTTATATTATGTTAATGCAATAGAAATTCATTTATAGCATTTGTATAGTTTTATCAAAATATGGGTATAGATATATATCTGTAAAAAGAATTTGTACGTTTGTTTACTTTTCCCTTTTCCTAATTGTTACATTCTAATTTAAAGAAAATATACCACGAAGTTTATCTGTAGTAATCTATAGTATTCTTTAAAATCGAATATCAATTTCTTATGTTTATTTTTCCGAAATATATATCGCTAGAATATAGAATATAATAGAATCGTAGTTGAATGAAATTTTCAAGAGAAGGATGTTCCATTGATAAAATTCGTTATAAAATTTTCGGAATATTTGGGTGTGCCTAACTAACTTGAAACGTGACGTTACTACGAGCGATTGTGTCACGTTTACTATGCGGCGGTGATGTCATCTTCAACCGCATGTATAACCTCGACTAAAAACATTGACCTCCTTTCGAGCAAGCGTTTGAGCAATCGATAAAAATACAAGTAAAACGAGAAACGAGAAGCGGGAAATACATATTACTTTGTTTAACAGGTTAAAGGATAGAAACGAATAAAAATATGTATGTATATACATATAGTATGTAGAAATGTCTTTAGATTTATTGCAAACATATATTTAATATTATGAAATATCGAAGATTTAATAGTTTATATTTTTATGAATAAACACAAGTAATAAAACGAAAAACTAGTGTTTCGGTTGGATTGAAACTTTGACTCTTTGTAGTTTACATACATAGTATATTTTGAGGAATATCAATATAGTACATATATATATATTTGCTTGTGTTTTGTTTAACGGAATATCTCCACTATGTTTTTGAACGCGACTGCTGAGGGTTTTAGCGTCCGGATTTATATTCAGCTTTTTGTTTTATTTTGTTTTGTAAAGTGTATTGTAAAGTGTAAGCCAGTCGTTAAAAAATTCGAAATGTGTAATATTTTTAATTTTCCCAATCATTTTTTTATCGATCTTCAAAATTTACTGCAGTTATCATTATGATGAAATTATATGTAACATATATGTATACATACATTGTCAATGTTGGCTACATAGCAGTTATAAAAAATGATACTTCTTGAAGGAAGTGACATTGATAGAGTTGTAAAATACTTGTTTTCGTATGATGATCCAAACCTAGCGTTTTTTGTGGTAAAATCTTGTCATGGGTAAAATTTATATATGTGTGGCCTATAAATTTTACTTCATTCCAGAGAATCGTTTTTATTTTATATACTTATTATTTTTTAATTGAGTATTTGAATTGGTCTTTATTTGCTACATTTTATTTTATTTATCACATTTTTATATCACATTGATACATATTATATTTTACGAGTCTAATATACTGTACATTTTAAACTAACGAAATATTAAAACTTTTCGAGACATCGTTGTACAAAATAAAATTCTCGATGTGGGTCGTTGCCTGAAATAGAAACACTAAAGCTCTCTTGTTTTCGACTACCACAATGTCTTAAATGATTAAAATTTTTTCATAGAATTTATTATGTATATACATACTTAGAAGAGAAATATGAAAAGATTTTTTGTATTATATAATGTCAAATTTAATATTTTTAATATATAAATAGAGAACAATGCATGAGATTGCACTGTTGAGTTATGAAAGTTTTAGATATTATATTTAAATATAATATGATATTATACATTTTATCATATATAGATTATAATATTTTAATATATTATATTATGATATTAAATATTAATATTATAATATTAAAATATCTAAAATGTATAACTGTATTTTAAATATTTCTTAGCTAATAAATTTTGTAAATATTTTGTGTGGTTTTCTCAGATTAGATAAAAAGTTAATGGACTTACAAGTTGCTGAAAGAAATTCGCTATTATATGAAACACGCTATAATGATTTACAATCACAATATAATCAGTGTCAAGCAGAACGTAAAAAGGATACTGAGAGGAGAAATGAATTAGAACAAGAAGTAGAGAAATTGAAGGCATTGTTAGAAGATTCCCGTAAACATCTGGGAGAAGAAACTCTACAACGTATTGTTCTTGAAAATAATATTCAAAGTTTAAAGGAAGATATTAGCTTTAAAGACCAAATGTATCAACAGGAATTAACGGAAACACGAACAAAGAGACAGGTTTGTATTTGACGGTATTTAGTTAGTGCCATTTTAGAAAATAACCACATAGTTATAGGTATATTTAGTATAAATGTTTTTGTATGATTGTCCATTTTTACTATATTTTATTCTAGATTGAAATCTCTGAAATAGATGGTCGTCTTGCTGAGGAATATGAAGCTAAAATGCAAAAATCTTTGCATGAATTACGAGATCAATATGAAGCTCAGATGCGAGCTAATAGAGAAGAAATTGAATTATTATATGAAAATAAAATTAAAAATTTGGCAGCCCATGCCCAACGTAACAGTGGAGCAGCAAGTTTAGCTGTTGAGGAATTAAGGCAAACAAGGACAAGGATTGATACACTTAATCAAAGGATCAATGAATTGGAAGCATCAAATAATGCTTTTAGTGCACGAATAAGGTAATTTATTATGAACTAACTGAATTTATATTTTTATGTAATAAATTTTAAGTATTTTAAGCTATTGTACAAGTTGTAATAATTTAAATATAGGATAAATTTAAATTTATTGTACAAATTTAAATACAGGGATTTAGAAAATTTACGTGAAAATGAGAAGGCCCGTCATGCAGAAAATGTAGCATCTTTGGAAGCAGAGCTAGCACGTATACGTGATGAAATGGCTCAACAAATACAAGAATATCAAGATCTTATGGATATCAAGGTTGCTCTTGATTTGGAAATTGCAGCATATCGAAAACTTTTGGAATCTGAAGAAGCCAGGTAATACAGTTAATGTTCTATAAAAATATTTATAAATTTTATATATTATAATACAATGTAGTTACAAGCATTAAATGAAAAAGAATTTTGTAAATATTTCATATTTATTTATTTACAGATTAAACATCATGCCTGTACAGTCAAGTTCAACAGCGTCTAGTGGCAGGACTACTCCTTCAAGACACACGCCATTAAGAGGTGGAAAACGAAAACGTACTTTGTTAGAGGAAAGTGAAGAACGTAGTAGTACTGATTATAGTGTATCTGGAACATCTAGAGGGGACATAGAAATTACAGAAGCTGATCCTCAAGGACGATTTGTCAAACTCACCAATAAAGGCAATAAAGTAAGATATTTAGCACTGAATAAAGTATTCCAGCATGTTCAATAATTCTATCATACTATATTTAATGTTTTCAATTTATTTTTATTTTTTATAGGAAATAGGACTTAGTGGTTGGCAAATTATTCGTAAAGCTAGTTCTTTGGAAACAGTATTTAAGTTCCATCGTACTGCAAAATTAGAAGCAGGTGCAACTGTAATGGTGTGGTCTGCTGATATTGGTGCTACCCATGAACCACCATCAAATATTGTTATGAAAGGCCAAAAATGGTTTACATCAGATGTTATGACAACTACACTTCTTAACAACGATGGCGAAGTGAGTATTTCTTACATTTTGTTACTACTGTGTTATTCAATGAATGTAAAGAATATCTTCAATATTTTATTGTTCAAATAGGAAATAGCTACTTCAGAGTGTAAAAGACAACAATTGTCTACATCTCTATCCCGACATAGGGAAAACTTGGGTTTCCGACCTTCGGAAGAACTTCACCATCAACAGGTATGTATGAATATGCAGATACAATATTAAGATAGAGGTTATAGAATTATACACATTATGATAGTCGATCTTAATTCGGCTTATTCTTTTTTTTATCCACAGCTAAACCAAATCTTAAAAGGTTTATTTTATTATTTAGGAATAAGTATTAGTGTTATATGTTTTTAAAAATATTTTAATACTATTTTACTCAGTAATGATATTAATAAGAACATTGAAAATATAAGTGAGAAATATCATAAATACGACCTTTAAAAATTGTTACTGTATCAATGTCCATAGTTGCAATGAAAACTTAAAAACCAATTACAAAATAATTAATGATCTTATTATTTCGAAAAATTGTTTCTTTTTTTGTAATTGTATTTAGTTAATGAAGACAATGTGGCTATAAAACATTCTGATTTTCTTGTCATTTATTTTTATAAAATTCTTATACAAAGTTTCTTTAAGTTTTCTTTAAATTGATTTTATTGTTAGATTTAATGTTTTAAATATAAAATAAAATCGGGATATGTATCATCAACGAATCTTCTTATTCCATAGAGAAGATATCTCTACCCATATTAAGTGGGCGAGCGAACGGTTCTGATGGGTCAATTTATGTAAGTTTTCTACTTATCGAACGTTAAAATAGTCGTCGATGATCAATGTCATTCGCGCTTTAAGTAAAAGAAATTATTTGCTTTGTGTTTTCTACTTCACAGCACTTTATTTTCATGCTCACGCTTAACTAAAACATCATGAATGTTAAGAATATAATGTAATTTTTGGTTAAAATATAAACATCTCATTAGTTAACCACATTGTCTTTAAGATATATATTTAAACAAACTCATTATACATATAAATATACAGTTATTGTTCAACATTTTTCATTATCATCGATATTGTTATTAACACAATACTATTGGTATTCTTACTTATTGATACTTATATCAACTAAAACGTTAAAATACTAAAAAGTTATTAACATATAGTCCATCACTTTATTGCTGTTATATTTACTTATTGAATTGGTTGAAATTTATACGAATCAACATCTTTTTTTATATATAAAAATAAAAAAAATTATTTTTCATTTGTATTTATAGAGGCTTATTAGAAAATTTCGCCGATGTGATGCATGCATAAACATTATTTTAACATTTTTCCAGAAAAGTTTGGTATTAACTAAATGAAATCAGTTGATGGAAATATTCATCAAACGATTTCATTGTTTCAAAAGTACATATATATCATTCGTTAAATTTAATTTACAGAATAAAAGGTTCCATTAAAATATACAAATTGCCTGCGTCAGTAATAAAATAATTATATATTTCTTATCAATAAAGTAAATATTATGTGCGTGTATATTTTTAATATATGCACGTGTGTATATCTTTACACGCATGTAAGAATAAACGTACAATATTTATTTCTCTCATAAATTTCTTCATAAAAAATTAACATTCATTAATATTGGCTTAAGATTCTGTAACTAATAATTGTCGAATAATATATATAATGACATAATATAATCATATCATGCCAGTTGGATTCATCGAGCGAACCAATTTTAATTCAGGTATCCAATCTTAATATTTTTGTCTACATAAATATGATCCTTTTTTTGTTTCAGGGTGATCCTCAAGGAGAAGAATTTTGTCGCCTTATGTGAAAATAAGTCTACAAAATAATCTCAAGAATTCTAACAGCACGTTTTTAAAAATGCTTAAAAAAAGGTACACAGAAAAAGCACGAGAGAATTTGGTTTAGAAATCAAATCTCAGAAATTTCATTAATATAAAGAATTCATATAAAGTTTCGAATGATATATTTTGCTTAAGAAAACAATAAAGAAGAGATTAAAAACAGAATTCACGACACATGTTAGTACTTTATATTTATAGAGATATGTACTACATATGAGAAAATATTCTGTAATATAATGTTTAAATCAAACTTAATGAAGAGTTTCATGAAGATTGAAACGATTATTGCATTTACATATTTGCACTTCGTACAAAACTTATTTGTCTGTTATATCAGAGTTGCTGCTTTATTGAATAAGAAGCACGAATAATCTTTTCAGCGAATAACTATTTTTGGCGTACCATTTATTTCTACCTAGTCGTTATCGTGCCTTTTTAAATGTAAAAGAAAGAGATCTTTTTTCTTAGTAGGTAGTAGTATTTATTTTTAAGTACAAACCCGGATGCAATAGGAGCATGGTGCCCGCCGTATATAATATTCAGATTGATTCGTTTGACAGGAAAATATTTTCTGATATGTATACTGAGTTTTCTATTAATTAATAAGACAAGTAAAAAAATGGAACTATGTTTATTGCAAAATGTATCAGCTCCGCCATCCGGAACATCATTTTGTTAATTGTATTCGACTTTATACCATTTATACAAGTAATAAAAATCTATAATTAACCATATCCCTATTATCTTTTCTTATAGTCCTTATCTGTCATTAAATTCTATGTAATTTAATCAATACAAAATTTATATTTTTCTCTTATAGAATAAATTTCAATTTTGCTTTTTGTGTTAAAAATTTAGTAAAAATAATATGATATCCATTCTTTCAATTTATTTAATAATTTTACTAAGATTTTAATTATTTTATCGTGCACAGTTCTGAACGGTCGGTATTACAGAATGTCATGCGATAATTTCTATATTCTCTGTAGCAAATCGCAAAGGACCTATAGGAACGTTCAGACGATCAACATTATTGTCAATATTTAAGGTTTTCAACATTCTATTGACAATATATATTGATCGCCCAGACTTTAGACGGTCTCTTAATATGTATAATAATGTTGAGAATCTTAAATATTGACAATAATAGTCACAATAAAATATTGATCGTTTCAAGATATGTGATTCTTCTCGAGATCGATAGTTCAAAATGTGAGACATGAAGTCCCATTTAATATCAGGTCTATTCTATACTTAGTCAATCCCATGGCGTTACAATTATAGAACTATTTTTTATCAGTGATGTGCTGCCATCTGATGGTGACTGGAGTAAGTAATTTTGAATTAAAAATTCCTTAGTTGATTGTTATAATTTCTAATGTTGTATAATTTTTATATTAGATGTTATTTGTAAGTAAAGATCTTGACAATATAATATAAATATAGTGGTAAAATAATGGTGCAACAGATTCATGTTAACGAAAAATTGCTACCAGCGGGTTCCGTGGTGTAGCGGTTATCACATCTGCTTTACACGCAGAAGGTCGCCGGTTCGATCCCGGTCGGAACCACACTTATCCTATTTTTTTTTAATATTTTCGTTTTACAATTAATAAATATGCTTAAAAAACGCCAATCAATAATAGTTGTAAACAGCAAAGGGTAGAAAACACATTATCTTCTTTTGCACCTACTTTATTCTAATACAACCCTTATCACAATTCCAAAATACTGTCCATTAAAGAGAGAAATATATATATATATAATCTTCATAAATATAGACAAAAATCATATTAATCATTATTGAACAACAATTACAAATAAGGGAGTCGTAGCCCTCCTTAACACGTACAACATAATATATTACATTATAATGCAATGTATCCACTCGTCTTATGGCTTGGAACGAATGAAGAGTTCATCTCAAAATGTATAAAGAAAGAAATATAACATTTTCTTTCAATGATAGCAAACAGGAATGAAGACTAAATGACGTTTTTTACACTGTATATAGAAAGTATGGGCAAAACCAGGTGCCTGGCTTCATTTAAAACATCAAAACACCGTGTAAAGACTTTGGAATATAATTCAGTTCTTACCGTAATAGATTCTTTAAATCCGAGCGTTATAAAAAGCTCAATTCATCAACGCGACACTGAAACTTTTTAACTCGAAATTCTTGAACTTTCAATGGATGAAAAACTACGACGTTTTCTGTTCTGCGATTGATTTCTTACTATCACGAGGTCCAGCCGCGAATGTAACATCATCCGTTGGCCACATATTGCAACTCTTATCTTAGAAAGATATTAATATGCGTCATGACCCGCGTATCCCAGTTTGCTCCACATTTCCTATCATTAAGCTGTCATCGTACTCCTTTTGTTCGGCTTATCTGCGCTTCGTTTATAGTTAATTATCACACCTGACATTTAAAATCCAGTTAAACGAAGGGAGAAGAAATGGAGAGAATCACGGAACCAGAAATTAAAATTGGTATATTCGGCTGGCGTTTGCCCTGTCATGCGTTTGTGTTCGCACGATGGGATGAACAGAGTGTGTTTCTTTCGTTTCTTTTCGTTTCTTCATTCACTGTTTCCGTTCTAACCATCTGGCAATCCACCTGCATCGCGTCGCAGCCAACTGCTTCGTTTTTTTGGCATTGTGTAACGAGAGCAAATCCGGTTTTTAGTCGGGTTTCGGCTATTCAGCGCTTCTTTTTCAGCTGGTGTTTTATAGAGACCCAATACAGGACGACAGGACGACAGAACGGAGAGTAGCGTGGACATCGATGTGTCTTCGAACGATCGCGTTTCTTCTTCCTTTTTCTCTCGTTCTTTTTCGTCTCGTCTTGCAGAGAATCGCGAAATCGACGTGATCATCAAAGATTCAACTGCGCATGACGATACGGATCGTCGATGCTCATGCGATCCTCACGTTCCATCAAATTTCTCATTTTATGTACCGTGTGTATATAACGCGATTGATATCGCATCGACTCTTTCCGTCAGTGACATTTAAGCGATGACATCCCAAAAAGTACAAAATTACGACGAATTATAATTAGCGACAGGCATTTGACTCTCAGTTTTGAGACGATTTTACGTTCTCTGAGACTATCAGAATTCTAGCCACTTGGAATATGATTCGACACTCTAGAACTCCGGAAAGTCTTGGAAGTGTTGGAAGTCGCTCACGTTAACACGCGTTTGTTTTCGCGCCTATAGAAGCGGAGATATGGAATTGGTGCTCGGTCGTTTGTATTCGAAGCAGACGACTGCTTGGTAACTTGATTATTCGCTTGGTAATTACACGACGAACTAGGAAATTGGGTCGAGTGTTGCGAGAATACTTTGGGCCATCTTCGATCTCTAGTGTTCTTCAACAACTCCTATCTTTGTGCGAGGCGTACTTTGATTCACGTGGCTCTCGCTTCCGTGCTTCGCGTCTTTTCAGACGCGAATCCGCGCGATGAAAAGTTACATTGTTTCCACGCTGCCGAGAAGAAAGAACTTGTGAAAAGACAATTTTACTATTATATAGTTTGATCCGTCCGAATGCTACTGTGTGTGAGTTTGATCGTAATCTCGCAGGTTAATCACTTGTTTGAATACTTGTAAGAATTCACGTTATCGACGAATGTCGTTTAACGTTTCTTATCTCGATCAAGTAGTTTTATTATTAAACAAAAATATCTGATCAAAAGATATCACTTTTGGGAGCGGACAGCGAAATTACTTTGATCTTCGTCTACATTAATGTTTCCCTGTTTGCGCTGCTGCTAATTCAGTACTAACGATATTTATCTGATCTCGTGAGTCTTGCTTCTAAATATGTTGTTCCACTTTGTTATCTACTACCTAATTTCAAAAACTTTGTTATCGTTTTCAACTACATAACTTAGCTCAGCCCACGGATACTTATCGTCACTATTCTCTTTTACAACTGAACTAATATTATTAATGAAATTTTACATATCGCAAGTTACAAGTTTTCAATACAAAGGATTCCTACAAATTACTGTTGCAATTTTACAGGATACAAGCCAGCTGATTTCGACCAGACAATCGACATCACACGGCAAAAATTACTTACGAAGCACAAGTTTACATCTATTCCGCGACTACTCGCTTGTCAATTCACAAACGGCTGGATAAAATTCATAGCGATGTTGATCAAGATATTGACAATACTGGATTTAGTCACGCATTTCACCTCTCAAAACTGTCATCTCTTCAGTCTCGTAATTGATCATAACTTTATTTTCTGCCGCGATATGTTTTCCTGACTTCAAACGATTTTATGAAATTTGTAGAAAAAAGTAGAACTTTCCCTGTCTGCCACTGTTTTACGAAAAATAGCAGTGGGTCGACTTGCAACTCTACGATCGCCTGTTTTCCAAGAGTTACTAAATTATCGTGCAAACAGGCTCATGACAAATTTTTTACCGAACCGCAACCCTCTTTTAACATTCCCGAACATCGATCGTTCGATAGATCTATTCCTTATCTACCGAAACCGCATGTTTCAACTTGATCGTCGACAAAACAACGAAACGATTCATGATGGAGGAGGTCAGATACGATCAACGTAGCCAGATCGGTACTAATAAAAAGAATTAGGTAACAATCGGGTCGAACGGCTCGAATTTATCATGCATCCGTGTTCCCTGTGGTAACTGCAGGTGGCCCATTCAGGATGCGGGATGATCGGCCAGAAGTAGTCAGTCATGAAAAAGACGCAAGGACTTCTACCTCCCGCGTGGAACAATCAGTTTCAATGGTTCGGCTTCGTTTAGAACGATACATGGAGTTTCCGTTTGGTTGTTTCGGTGAGTGTTCCGAGGAAACTACCTGTTGGAAAGCAGCGTGAAATCTCGAGAAACCAGTCGCACGGATGTTCAATGTTCCGTCTCCACCTGCAGCCTCTTTTTATTCTTGCTGCTGAACTTCACCCTGACCCTAATCTGCAGTTACATCTCAACCAACAATTAAATTGCCTTTAATAATGGTTTCCATGGATTCGATTCAACTACGAACCGGATGATATCTCAGGTTCTATGTCGCAACGATCGAGCAAGAATTATGAGTTTCTCCGTGGTTGTATTCATGGTTCTATAATATAACATTTTTTATACTTTTTGTAGTCTGATGTTACTTGTGTCGTCTTGGGAAATGGTGTGACAAATACGTTAACATGTGTGCTTGGAGGAAAGAAAAGGAATGTTTCGGAAGGATTTACGATTAAAGATTAAAATAATTGGCCGGAGAGATCGGTACTTGTGTTATATTTTTAACGCTTTGATTTTCTCTTACATCTATAGCGTGTCAACAGGACAACACAGAATCTATGTCAACGCCAAATACACAGCATGTAATGAACAATCAGTTCGCTGTGGAGTGCCGAAGCGTGCAGACGTGTCTCTAGTGCCCAGTGAAGTTCGAAAACAACACGTGTCGCCCAACCGTCGAAAGTGAACACAGCCAAGTGTTTCCTAGCCTTTAGGGAGAAGAAAATCCCACGCACCTAACCCCAACCCGAATACTAGCCTCATAACCTCACGATTAGTTATTCATTTCGAATTAACTAGCTCGATGATAGCCCAGCAATCACGACCAGGCTCTCCTGAGCAAATTCGCAACTACCCCGCGCTACCTCCTCCGTGGCAGAAGTGCAGCAGATCCCCCCGTACCAACGACGCCAATAATACAAAAAAAAAAACGAAAAATAGAAACACTAAAATCAAACACGATCAACGCCCGGAACGAATAATCAACGATACAAATAAACACCCACAACAGGTTCGCCGTATTGGAATCCATAAACGACGCCATGGAAATCGCAGACCCGCCGCCAAACCAACATGCACAGAGAATCCCCCCTCCCCCACCAATATTTGTTGATGATGTCATCGACATCCAAACAATGATCAAGTCCTTAGAGAGAGATATCTCCAAGGAGGACCACAACTTAAAGATAAATAACAACAAAGTAAAAATACTAACGACGAACTCAGAAGCTTGCAGAAAACTCATCAAGATACTTAGGACCCTGAACGCCAACTTCCACACCTACCAACTCATTTTCCGCCGCTTCGTAACAGGACACACAACAATCTCCACACGCAACAGGACAACACGAAATCTATGCCAACACCAAATACACAGTACGTAACGAACAATAACCACACCAACACCAACACCGTTAGAAACCGAAGCTACGCGCAAGTAGTCAACCGGTCGTCACCCTCAGATAATCAAGAACATAACAACCACAGCAACGACGCTACAGAAATCAAAGAGCTAATAAAACATTCCATAAAAAACACCGAAATACTCACAAAAACGATAAGCGACCAAAACGAACTCCTCAGACGGCAAACACAGCAGATAACAGTCATGTTACAATTACTAACATAATGAGCAAAAAATAAAAATAGACACGCTTAAAATAGCAGCCTGGAACTCTAACGGCCTACAACAAAGGGCCCTAGAAACTAAAACATTCCTGCACAGCAATAACATCGACATACTACTCGTCTCAGAAACACACCTCACAATAAAAAGCTACA